ATTTACAAAAGAAAATAGAAAAAGTAGACAAAACAAGTTTTTACATTTGATCCGTCATTTTAGCGTGATGAGTCCGCACAGTTATCTACTTAGTAAACACTTTACTTTCATGGCAAATGATTATCAGACGTCCCTGATATTGTGTATTTCATTTTGATAAAAATGTGTGAGCTGCTCGTCTTACGAATTTAGCACTGTCCATAAGAAATTGATGGTATTCTTCAACGCTTTCTAATATGTCTCTTGGAATAGGTTTTCCAAGAATCGTCCTGAGGAAATCTTCGTGCATGAGGTTATCGAAATAGAGAAATAATGGTATACCGTATTTGTCTGTTATCAATGTCATGTATACATCCCGAATGACAGCTGTATCCCGACAAACAGTAACATAATGTAAAATAGGATCTATATAGAGCGTATTACATAGTCCATACTGCTCCTCTGACCACTTAGGGGAACACGTGACCATCTTACAGGCAAACTTGATTATTGAGAGATCTTTTGAAGTTTTTGGTATTTTCCACATTACATATGGAGTCGTATATGTGTTGTGTATGTCTCTATACCGCAGAAAATCTGGATCTTGTTTTAGTCTTTGGTTGAGGAGAGCGTCCTCAGTTTTCATTATTGCATTATTAACAATCCTTTTCCATTTGAGTTTTGACGGGAAACTGTAGTTTCTTGTGTAATCTCGAAGATACTGTTGCAAGTTATATTTGCACAGATTGGCCCAGATGTCAGTTATAAATCCTAGTTGGTTGTTCACTGGGCTTTGTAAGAACTGGTATAACCGCCGAAGAAATATACGTTTTGATAGAGTATTGGACTCTAGACGTATTAAGGTAGACAGGAAGTTTAGCTTCCTTTTGTCGATTTGCGATGACAATCTAGAAAGGCCTAACATAGATTCACACATATCGGATCTTGCTAATTTCCGGAAACATTGGGTTCGTTTCGCAATAGTGTGTTGCAATACACTTATATATTGCAGGTCCTTCTGAGACATTTTAGACCAAAATTCAGACCCGTAAAGTACACTTGGAATTATAGCTTTCTTGTACAACTCCGATGTTTTTAATGGATTCGTCAGCTCACAGTCTTGTCCAGATTTGGTTACAAGATTGAAACAGTTTCTTCCTTTATTACAGCCATTTTCTACAGCTAACTTGCATTTAAGATCTGTAGAGATAATAACACCGACATGTTTGTGTGACTGTGAGGACTTCAAGTTTTGTCTCATAAGTGACCATTTGAAATTAATATTTCGTTTCCGTCCATTATCGAACACAAGAACCGTACTTTTGTCCGCATTGTATGCGAATTTCCATACCTCTGCATATCTCGTACAAATGTCTAGAAGCGTTTGTAATGCTAGGAGACTGGTTGCAATTAAAGCAATGTCGTCTGCAAGGGCTGGATTGCAACTATTTATGTCGTAGATCTTGGCTCCTACTCGGCTTTGTTCCAACTCCAGGAGAAGGTCATTGATAAAAACAAGGTATAATAAATGTGTTTTATCCAAAGGTGAATGTTCGAGAACGTCACAGGGATGTTGTTCAGTATGGCCACTGTTGCTTGACACTGCCGATCTACACATCTTCATCAACACTTATCATTACGTCTAGTCTTAACTGAATACTTGAACCATCTGGAACCAAATATTTCCACCTCTACCATTTTCCAGAAAATCTACTCTTGCTTGTGCATTAGCCATATCATATAGATAAAGGTAGACAGTTCTAACGTCAAATATCTTATAACTTTATAACAATAGTAGTGAAAAGAAACAAAGATAATTATTGATGCCAGGTAAATAATTATTTACTCACATCTTGAGTGAATAATACACAATAGTTTCTATGTCGAGAATAATTTTGTTTTACTTTTATAATCAATGTTTTTATAAACCAGGATAATGACACTCACAAAGCAATATATGGAGAAACAATTCATAAAAAACTGTTTATGTTGAAACAACATAATAAAGAATAGTGACACTATGTAATTATGATTATGTTTCTGTTGTGTTAACCACTAGCTGTCTTCATACATACGGTATATATATCTGTTTATGGAAATATTTAAACATTTTTTATTTCCTTGCATTTACGATCGGTTACAGTCCCATACATGAAGTATAGAAACGGGCAGATGTAACGATATTCCCAGAGGTATTGTCCTCGTTGGAAGTAATTACATCGAGGATGAAATTCATTTCATATTATTATGTCCAGTTTATTCAGAGCTCAGAATCAAATACATTAAACCCTGTTACTTCCGTCGTCCGTATGTCTTCAAATTCATACAACTATTGTCCTGAAAAAATGGGATGTGTTTGAGAAATTTTAGATATTTTACGTCTTAAAGAATGTCTCTTCTTATCATCTAATCAAATGGTATATTTTCTAGCTTAATCCTACTGTAAATCACTGTATATGTTCACTGATACACGTATGTTGATGACGTTGTAATGTTCTCCCTCATCTTGCTGTAATGAAATGTAATATTATTTATGATAACTTTGTAATCCTATATGCCATTCGCGTTTGGAATAAGGAAATTTAACTTTTCCTTTGTACAAGTTTCTAAAAGCATGTTTATAGTTGACCAGGTGTATTATGCTTGTAAGTATTGAAATATTCTTTATTTTTGTCCAGGTGAATACAAGAACCACAGGTATTTTTTTAAGATGTTGGTTGAGTGGGAATGAACCATCGTACTAAACATATTTCGGTCTATTTTTAATCCGTACAATGGAGTTAGTTGCGCTTAATTACTTCTTGCGTTTTTTAAACTGAACTTAATAGTATTTTTACAATAGAATGTGGGTTTTAATCATTATCAGACTTCGAATCGATTTTCTTAAACATACGATACACAAAATGAAGACTTTATGAGTGCACATAGATTAAATGTTTTTTTGTCGGTTAGATGATACCTGATAACGGTGGTCGCGTTGAGCGAAATCCTTTACAAATGTTAACATATACGTTCCTGTTTTGAAAATATTGTCTACTTTCCTATCTTTTTTTTAATTGCGGTTCCTATGACCTGTATATGATTGACTAAAGTGATTGATTTTTTTCTCTGATATTTGAAAAGTTGCGTTGTAATACTGCAAATCAAAAAGGAATGCCTCACAATTACTATTGAATAGTCACCTCAATTAAAATTGAATACTCACTACATAAACGGGGCTGTTATACCTTTGTATACTTCTGTACTGATCTTTGGAATTAAGTTTCCTCTGGGGGTTTAACTGTCCTCCTGCAGAACGCAGAGAAGTTCTATAAACGTCTGTGCAGTGTCTGACTAAGAGAAACATTTATGATATAGGCTATACTGTTCGGTACCAACTCTTGTTATATATGACATCCGTGTCTTGACATGAGAACCAATTAAATCGTACTGTTGTAATATATCATAAATTCCCTTCATTTTCATGTGGACGGGGAATATAGTATTTTCAATGTCCGTCCCACCATGTCCCGGTCCGAATCTATGTTATATTTTGATATTCGTTCATATGTCTTCAATATCATAACATCAAGTTCTATACACTCTCATATTAAGGTGTTCGTTGGCTCAGATTAAAGGGTCAAATGTCAAGTTTGAAAAAAAATTCTACAAACCCAAGGAAGAATGATGAATACTTTCACGTCTTAAATCATGATAATAAATGTGACGCCATGCGGACAACTATCGGGCATTTTCTATGGAACTAAACGGAAGCCGAATATAAAATAAATTGCATACTCCTTAGAACACCTAAACAAAACATTAATTATCATTCTACCATGAGGTCATCTAATCAGTTGGAAGGATAGAACAATTTTGTTCCGATCTTTTTTTATAGACATAAGGAATCAACATTACGAACGAGATAGTGTTGGGTTCACTTTTTGTTCGAAATCGTATAATTGGGTGCACACGACCAACACACCCCTCTCTATTACAAATATATGTATATAAACATATCACATACCATTGTTATTGTGCAGCGGAGCAGTAATGTAATTTTTTAAAGTAATGGACACTATACCCTGAAGTACAATGCATGTTGACATTGCTCTTTGTCTATCTGATGTGTCGTCTCGTGAAGTAGTGAGTCAGCTGTCGTTTATTTAATGTTAACACCTATGTGTAATATGCTTGAATAATGCTTATTTAAGAGAACGACATTTAAAAAATCTTATTGAGAGAAATAAGATTTATTCTATATTCGAAAACAAATATGATTAAAGATAAAAATGGAACTAATTTTCAAATATTTTATTGCGATATTGCGTGTGTTGAAATTTCAGTCAGAAGTTATGACACAAAATGTTTTACCCAGTATCATAGTATTATTTCTCCAAAAATGAAATCTACATGTAAATGTACCCATGGCGGCTTGTTTCTCAGGAAACTGAGACACGGACCGGTCTGTGCTAGCGTGGTTGTGTCTGCTTTGGATGGCATGCGGCGGGACTCCCGTATGTTGTTCACGAGTAACAACCGGCTGCTACACAGGAACGATAAACGTGGCAAACAAACCTGTTTGATTGGTTTTTTGGTAAATTAATTTCAAACACGTTTAATGTGCCCCTGCAGTATTTTCTTTGGTCTGATTGCCAATTTTCATGTACAATTGAAATGTTTTGTGAAATAAGGTATGTAAGTATCAAGTTATCCCCCTTTTTTCTTGAAGAAAGGGGGGTTTCTTGGGAGGTATTGCGTTTCAACACCTAGGGATTATGTAAATACTGTTATAAGTTGATGATTCATTGATAACGATGATTTTCATCTTTTACAGGTTTACTCGTCGTTTTTAAAAGGAAAAGAGGACGAGTTTCAGACCAAAAGGAAGAACACCGTGGATTTGGGAAGTTTCAAATCTCTCGCGAGATTACAGAACTACTACATTTGCTATTATATGGATTCTTTTATTCATTTCTTATCTACTTCGTTGGATTTATCTTAACCATAAACACGTGCCATTACATTTTCACAGTTACACCATGAAAATATTGGGCATGAGTTCTCGTTATTTCGGAATGTTTGGTGTACGCCATATAAAAAAAATGGTAGCTCTAACGTTCTTTGGTGGATTTTGTATGGTATATAGCTACTTTAAATATTTTCAGGAGCCCCTCTATGTGTTCATGCACAATGATATACATAGCCAGTGTGTTTTGCCTAATATTGATCCTAACGATCCTACTATCATGAAATTCTACAACTGGCATCCTCCCCCACTAGTATGTGATCCCAACCCAACGCTTACTTTCGTGGACGATTCTGGACTTTTGAGATTTAACGAAAGTGTATACGATCCTTCCAAAACCGACGGAAAATTAAATTGTGTTTACAGTATTGTTACTCTAGTCAATGATTTCAAAGTAAAATTCGAACCCGAAACCGCTATTGAAGGACCCGTTGACGTGCCAGCGGATGCTTTTGTTGTACGATGTCGAAATCCATCTGGACAAATTGTCTATGAAAACGTTCACCAGAAAATAGACAGAAAATCCAAAGAGAAAACAAAGGAAATAAAAGACGAAAGTGATGACAATCTCAGCGTACTAATGTTTGGAATAGATTCTGTTTCAAGGTTAGCAGCTATTCGGAAGCTGCCTAAGACAGTGAAATATATAAAAGAAACTCTCGGAGGTTTTGTATTTCAGGGATACAACAAAGTAGGCGATCATACATTTCCAAATCTTTTGGCACTACTCTGTGGGAAAACCCAGTTTGGATTTGAAGATGTCGATCTAGACAAAGATTTCGCCGACAATTATCCCTTTATTTGGTACGAGTTTGAGAAGAAAGGGTATGTTACTCTACATGGCGAAGACTGGCCAGAAATCGCTACTATCAACCAGGTGATGAAGGCGGGATTTGAAAAACCACCAACCACTCATTACAGCCGTTCCTATTGGCTGGCGATGAGGAAAATTCAACCAATGCAATACACGATTGACCAGGTGTTCATGTTTCTTGAATCCAAGGCAATGAAACTACGGAAGTCCTCGTCTCTTTGTTATGGCAACCGTCCCAACCATATGTTGATAGTGGATCATTTCAAACAGTTTGTACATACATACAAAGGGAAAAGAAAATTTGCGTTTACATGGCTTAACGAACTGGCTCACAATTATGTTAATTTTCTAGAATACGGTGACAATGACTTTATGGAATTTGTGAAATGGTTACATCTTGAAGGTCATTTAAACAAAACTGTGTTGCTTTTCTTTAGTGATCATGGTTCAAGAGTTGACGAAATACGTAACACATACATTGGACGTATAGAAGATAGAATGCCATTTGTTTCTATAGTGATTCCAGAAGTTTTAAAAAAGAAGTACCCGGCCATTGTTGAAAATTTACGAGCAAATGAACAAAGACTTACAACAACTTTTGATACATATTCAGCGTTACGTGATGTGTTAAATAATAAATATGAAAATTTGACGGATGAAGTCCGGACCGACACGCCACAAGCTGTGAGTATATTCAAGCGTATTCCTAAAGTTCGCTCATGCGCAGATGCAAAGATTCCTGAACATTATTGCGCGTGTTATTCATCCCAAGCCGTTAACAAAACAAAACCAATTCTGAAAGTTATTGCTAATTTCGTACTACAGAATATAAATGATTTCTTACTTCCGGTACGGAACAAGTGTGCCAGATTATCTGTAGCCTCAATCATGGAGGCAAGAATTGTTAAAAATAATCTAGAACGAAAAGCAGACCAGGAAATTAAGTTTACATTGAGGAATTGGATATCTTCTCCAGAACAACGGGACAACACGAAATATCTTATTTACATCAGGACCACGCCCGGAAATGCCACGTTCGAGGCTTCCGTCTTAAGAAGTCCGAACGGCAATATGAAAATAATGGACGATATCAGCAGGACTAATCGTTATGGTAACCAGTCTGCGTGTGTCGCAGACAGATTCCTTAAAGGCTACTGCTTCTGTACTGTGGATGAAGTGGCTACTGTTATATAAATGTGTTCTCTCGTAACATCATAATTTAGGACTAACAAATTGAATCATATTATCTTGTCAAAAAGATCTGATGTAATCTGACACATTATATTTGACACACCGCATTAGTCAGGAGAAAACCCTCTATTCTGACACATTATATTTGACACACCGCATTGATCAGGAGAAAACTGTCTATTCTGACACATTATATTTGACACACCGCATTAGTCAGGAGAAAACTGTCTATTCTGACACATTATATTTGACACACCGCATTAGTTGGAAGAAAACTGTCTATTCTGACACATTATATTTGACACACCGCATTAGTTGGAAGAAAACTGTCTATTCTGACACATTATATTTGACACACCGCATTAGTTGGAAGAAAACTGTCTATTCTGACACATTATATTTGACACACCGCATTAGGTGGAAGAAAACTGTCTATTCTGACACATTATATTTGACACACCGCATTAGTTGGAAGAAAACTGTCTATTCTGACACATTATATTTGACACACCGCATTAGTTGGAAGAAAACTGTCTATTCTGACACATTATATTTGACACACCGCATTAGTCAGGAGAAAACTGTCTATTCTGACACATTATATTTGACACACCGCATTAGTCAGGAGAAAACTGTCTATTCTGACACATTATAATTGACACACCGCATTAGTTGGAAGAAAACTGTCTATTCTGACACATTATATTTGACACACCGCATTAGTTGGAAGAAACTGTCTATTCTGACACATTATATTTGACACACCGCATTAGTTGGAAGAAAACTGTCTATTCTGACACATTATATTTGACACACCGCATTAGTCAGGAGAAAACTGTCTATTCTGACACATTATATTTGACACACCGCATTGATCAGGAGAAAACTGTCTATTCTGACACATTATATTTGACACACCGCATTAATCAGGAGAAAACTGTCTATTCTGACACATTATATTTGACACACCACATTAATCAGAAAAAAAACTGTCTTATCTGGTCGGATAACCGTTTCTAGTCTGACAACCTGTAGGACAAATATTTCTCGTATTTACACGCTATTTCAGAATACATACAGAAACCTGTTTCACTTTCGGTCGTTTTCAATAGAAATTAGATCTGAGCGTGCTGTCCTACGTCGTATAAGATGTGATGTTTGCAATTAGATGTCAGTTATATATGATCAATTATAATTGACGCTTATTGTTGTCTGGAACGACTCTTTCGGAGCAATATCAAATTTGGAGTGAATTGTAGCAAAATGAACTTAATTTACGCGAATAGTAACACAATTGGATTTTTCTCTCCGACAGTTGACCCCAAGTTCATGCACGAATCACGGAAATATGGAATAAAGTTCACCAAAAATATTTCAAGGCATCAAACAAATAACACATTACACGCATATTTTACTTACCTTGCTATGAAGAAAGGTTGTCGTATTTTGAAATCTCTATCCTGCGGAGAAGACGCCAAGTCCTTGGCGCTTTTTCATATATGACGTAAATACTTTTACCCTTCATCAAACTGTCAGATGACAAACATAAAAACATCGCCAGTTGTAAGACGATCATTTTTGTCATTATATATATTTTTTCTTTGCGATTTTCCGTATCTGTTAGATACACGTAAAGAAACTTTATAACTATGAAGCATGAGAATAAAGACCATGCCTGTTTGTATTCTAATGGCTAGATAAAACTTGAAAGGGACAATGGTATAAATACCATTAACAGGTTATCGAAACAGTGCTATGTTGATACATGAAACTATAGCTATCATATGTTTATCATAAACATGAAGTTATTCAAATTGTCATATTATCTGGCATAACATTTATAATTCACTCTAATGTATCGAAGTGACCTCCCTTAGAAATGTTAGACAGAGATGGTGAAGCTCCTAAGCGTTTATCTCGTGTACGTGGTTCACACAAACTATGTACTGTATTGGCTTTCATAATTGGTATGTTTTAATGAGATCATGTTGACGTGCAAAATATTTTTCATACACTAGTCTACGTTTTGTTTTCTGTTCAAATGGGTTTTTTTGTATGTTGATATCTTAATGAGGAATTTTATTACTAAAGGGTGTTTACCCAATAATCATTTACTTGTACTGCCAAATACCACATATCTGATAATGACACTCAGAATCCTTTCCCACTGATAACTTGTTAATTTTAATTATTTATGTACTTTTCTTTTGAGTTATTTAACAAATTGGTAATGTTGGTATTCATGACGATTCGTCAGATGTGTGAATTGATATATGGAATGTTTATGACATTATGTTTTACCAAAAGTAGTAATGAAAAAGGATTTATAAAAGAAACGCTGATAGACGTGGTATTCATGTCATTAAAGGCCAATAGACTGATAGTTGATGTGAAGAGCACTTCACCGTTAGTAAATTGAAAAGAATTTCACGATTGAAATATAAGTAGAGTGAAAAGTGTTTAACTGAAAAAATGTAAAAAAAAAAAAATCCATTGATGAAATTTAAGTCCAGTGAAAAGAATTCCACTCATGGAATGTAAGTAGAGCGAAAAGAATTTCACTCATGGAATGTAATTAGAGCGAAAAGAATTTCACTCATGGAATGTAAGTAGAGCGAAAAGAATTTCACTCATGGAATGTAAGTAGAGCGAAAAGAATTTCACTCATGGAATGTAAGTAGAGCGAAAAGAATTTCACTCATGGAATGTAAGTAGAGTGAAAAGAATTTCACTCATGGAATGTAATTAGAGCGAAAAGAATTCCACGGATGGAATGTAAGTAGAGCGAAAAGAATTTCACTCATGGAATGTAATTAGAGCGAAAAGAATTCTACGGATGGAATGTAAGTAGAGCGAAAAGAATTTCACTCATGGAATGTAATTAGAGCGAAAAGAATTTCACTGATGGCATGTAAGTAGAGCGAAAAGAATTTCACTCATGGAATGTAATTAGAGCGAAAAGAATTTCACTGTTGAAATGGAAGTAGAGTGAAAAGAATTTCACTGTTGAAATGGAAGTGGAGTGAAAAGAATTTCACTGATGGAATGTAAGTAGAGCGAAAAGAATTTCACTGATGGAATGTAATTAGAGCGAAAAGAATTTCACTGATGGCATGTAAGTAGAGCGAAAAGAATTTCACTCATGGAATGTAATTAGAGCGAAAAGAATTTCACTGTTGAAATGGAAGTAGAGTGAAAAGAATTTCACTGTTGAAATGGAAGTAGAGTGAAAAGAATTTCACTGTTGAAATGGAAGTGGAGTGAAAAGAATTTCACTGATGGAATGTAAGTAGAGCGAAAAGAATTTCACTGATGGAATGTAAGTAGAGCGAAAATAAATTAAGTGATGGAATTTAAGTCTGAGTAAACAGTTTTCTGCAATGAAGAAGAATTACATAAATGTGATGCCAGTGAAGGTGTCAGTAGTTCACTTCTAGCAGAGATGAAAGTATCTCAGTACTGGAATATAAGGACTTGTCACATATTGTGATTCTTTGTTGATAAGTCACAAATTACATATATTTTGACATTATCTTCAATGTTTTTGTTTTCATTCCATCCATTTAGCATAATCGTTCGGGTATTTGCTTTTTTTTTTACATTTAGAGATTTTTGACTGTATTGAAACTATTTTTGTAATAAACTTTTAATATGAAATTGAAAGCTAGTTTTTGTATTCATATAATGTTATTTGATAACAAATAAACAATGTTATGTACTCGACAATGTAGTTACTACAGGATATCAATGGTATAATCACGTGCATAAACATCAGAATGTTTAAACCTTTTTGCTAATTTGTCATAATTTGATGACGATATACACTAACTACTTCGTAACTCTGCTAAATTGTATTAAAATACGGAACTCTCGTTCACATCAAACATTAATACTGATGAACGTAAGGTTGTACAAAAGACGTATTCCACCTTCAAATACAAATTTAGATTTAGATACAGTAGAACCAAACAATGAAATAAACTGCAACATACAGTTGTTTCGTCTTTAAAGGACTCGTTAGTGATGCTAAGGACACAAATGTTTATGCCTAGGAGGCGACTGAGGAAAATCAAGTGATCCAAAGAAAAAGTCTCAATCTGGACGAGGGGGCGGGGGCATTTGCCCCATAATTCGCAATCTATATACAGATAGATAACTTGGAACAGCGTCACGTAAATGTGTATTTATTTGATAATAAAACATTTATTATATATATATGTATAACAAAATTAGTGATAATATAACGAATCAAATCTATATTTATATATAAACAACAACAGTGATGATATAACGAACCAAATCTATATTTATATATAAACAACAACAGTGGTGATATAATGAACCAAATCTCTATATTTATATATAAACAACATCAGTGATGATATAATGAACCAAATCTCTATATTTATATATAAACAACATCAGTGTGTTATAACGAACCAAATCTATATTTATATATAAACAACATCAGTGTGATATAACGAACCAAATCTCTATATTTATATATAAACAACAACAGTGATGATATAACGAACCAAATCTATATTTATATATAAACAACAACAGTGTGATATAATGAACCAGATCTCTATATTTATATATAAACAACAACAGTGATGATATAACGAACCAAATCTATATTTATATATAAACAACAACAGTGGTGATATAATGAATCAGATCTCTATATTTATATATAAACAACATGAGTGTTTATATAAACAAGAACAGTGTTGATATAACGAACTACTTTTGATATCAACAAAAGCCAAATATTTTTTTAAATAAAGAATCAGTCGATTATGAGAAAGGTTGCAATTCAGTTTCTTAAAATCTTAATTCTATCAGTTGTGCGCAAGACCATACTTAAAACGTGAAGCACGAAATTTGTTTTGTTTTGTTGTTGGAACCATTTTTTTAAAAATAGACCTTCCTCGAAGTGCATTAGCATGACCAATAATTTCTTATCTTTAAATGCGTGTGTTTTTCTGAAACTTTATCAGCTTTCTTTTAAAGTAAAAAAAATCTTCTAGTAAATATACTTTTTTAAAAATTCAAATGGAAAAGTTTATAATGACAACTATGGTATACTATTAGCAATAAATGTATAGAAAAGCACGAACTGAAATGAACGATAAATCTTGTAAACAAAGAGAGGATAAGAAATAGATACGACGAAGTATAGGTGTATGACCTAGATATCCTGATAGACAGAACAGGTGGCGCCTCGTTGACCACAGTGACACGTAAACGTACCAGGAACATCTCAGAATGTCGAGCATGTGGTCCATCATTCTTGTTTTAACCTTCTGTATCTTACAAGGTTTGTAATTCTTACCTCCAAGTTCGTTTAAAATTCATTTCTATGGAAATTGTATTTTAAAAAAAACTAACTCGAAAAAGTTTTGTTAAACTTTTCTGTCTTTAAAAAAATCGCCTCTTAAACTTGAAAGTCGTTTTCCCCTTTTGGCGTATATGTAAACAGCCCCATTGTTAATCTGCATACGTTGAGAGCATGTCATAAAGGTATTTTGACAAATTCGACCATCGATTTTAACAAAAACACAAATGCATGCTATTCGATAATACTCGAAAACTACATTATACTACTTTTTTCTGTTTATATGCATAGAGTCTGTGTGACGTTTTGGTAGCTACGTATTGTCGCAAAAAGAAAACATGATCGCGACAGCAAATGCACAATTCTGTTTGCATTTTCATACGGCTGTAATTATGGCCAAAAGACCTATTCATATGAAATGGAATATTAATCATCCTATTAAGAAGAGAACTCAGAGGGCTCATCATTACTTTATATTTGTATGTTCTTTAATAGTTGGATCTTTTCGTTTCCTTTCTATCATTTCTCCTGTATTACTGTTGATTATATTAAATTTGAAAATTTCTCTCAAGAAATATCTATTACTGCCAAAAATAAGATGGTCGCCTGTCGGTCATCTTACGTTCGTGATCAGTCCCAGAATCGAAAATGCACAATAAGGAACCAAGAGGATCCTACATCTGAAATTTGGGAAAGGTCCATCCAGTACTGTTAAAGAAATAGCGATAACAAACTTTCATCGTCAAAAGCCAAGATGACGCCTCTCAGATATTTTGTACTTCTGATCAGTCCAAAAATCAGAAGAACACAACTAAGGACCTAATGAAATTTGAGAGATCCATTCAGCACTTCTCTAAAATTAGAAATAACAAGTATTGTTTACGGACGGACCAATGACGTGAGGTGGGGCATTTTTCAAATATATTTTCAAGGTATGTATTTTCGGTTTTTCTTTCTATCCTCAAATACTTGGAAAACAAAATCCCTCGAAAATAACATAATTTACAGTATCCTACCGATGCCTTACCAAGACATTATGCTGGCTGATATTATATGAACGAATTGTTTCTTTACTTTTAGCCAATGCCGACTGTCCTGATGGCTACATGAAACATCACGGATCCTGCTACCGATTTCACCATACCGAGTTCACCTGGCCGGAGGCTGTGGTGAGTTTTGACTTTAACTCACAATAAACAGTTACTGGAAAATTGTACAGCATAAATCATTCGAAAAGTGTATTAGATTATAGCTTAGACGTCTCGGAATAAAACCAGACAAATGTTTTTCTAAAGATATGATAAATTCATACAATCTTGCCCGATTAATTATTTGGTAAATAAAGTGAATTGAAATACATAGAAAATGTTATTTTCATATCAAGAAACATTTCAACAATCTGAGCAACGCTTATATGTTTGTTTCTAATTACTTGGCGAGTAGGCTCCCCTGAGAAATGTGTTGGACAAAGCACGGCAGAGGAATAAAAATGATAATAATGGTGTTTATATAATAATATTTTTTGTGTTAAATGCCTTAGCGACTACACATCAGCTGATCGAGTACATATTAATAAGATGACCAGACCACACGAGAACATTGTACAAGGTTTATTTGCCGAAGCATTTGCTATCAAATGTCTATATCCTCGGCCTGTCAAGGCCGCCGTTTTGTTTAAAACGCATACACAAGGCAATAAGAGGGTTTGAAAAAGTCTATATTGCAAAGCATCTAAACGACACGGAATTTACTCCAGAATTTTATCGACAACTTTTTTTAAAGTAGAGAGCTACTACTGGATAATTTATAGGTTAGCTGCTTATGTACTGTTGATCAAACAGTCGATAGATGTATGGGTTGCTAACTATGAAGTTTTATTTTATTTTTGTTCCCCCACGACCGCTGTATCAAGTGTTAACGGACCCCTTGACCAATATTAGGATACATTAAACATCATTTCTTAGCTGCAAAAACATTAATATGCTCATACCTATTAACGATTAGCTTGCAGGTAGAAGAAAACAATATGTCCCCACTTGGTTTGGGAGACTTAATCATGACTCTCTCTGTGGAGATGACTGCTGCTATGATGACTTAACTCCCAGTGAGATACATATATTATATGACAGTGTATATATTTGTAAAGATCTCCCAAACTGATAGCTCTACGATCACTCAGCTTGTATTTTCCTGAATAAGTGTACTTTACAATTCATTCATTTTGATTTGTATAGAAATCCCGATAACTCGGAGATGAGTTTCACACGATCTGGCTGCATTCGCTATGACTACACACATTGTCAAGTGTTATACTGTACACTTCTTGTTCTGCAAGTGTTTACAAAAATGTCTGGACTACTGCTGGAATATCACTATGAAAAGTTCATTCTGTTCAAAAAAGTATTTCCAAAACCGGAATTCAAATTTCCGGACTGGTTAGGACAACTAACGTTAAGGGAATCCGTCCAGATTGTGAGTTTTCCGGACTATCGGCGTCCGAATTATCGTGGGTCTACTGTATATATAAGTTAATCAGGGAAAAATTTAAGTTATTCAGGCAGTATATTTGAGTCAATTAGGGAGTTAATTCAGCCAATAAAGGATATATTATCATCCAAACGATAATATTTATGGGTAATGTTAATCGATTACAATTGTTGGTTTCTAGTAACTTGGGCTATCTTTTTATGTTTATCCAGTCATTCTGCCGTGCATTCAATTCCCATCTACTGAAATTGGAAACAGAAGCTGAATTTACATTTGTTCGAGGAAAGGCAAAGGAATCGGGAGGTAGGGTCTACGGTTATTGATATACACAAACTTCGCTGTCTGTGCTGATATACTTTATTGTAAAGTTGATACATAGAGGATATCTTTTAGTGTCTCCAGTAATAATATGCTTGTTGCGGACACTACTCACTCAATATAGTTTCGCAGTACGCGTCAAAATATAATCCGTATTTAAAAATTCATTTGAAAATATGTTTACGCAAAAATAAATTTCAATGTAAATTAATTCGTATATTTACATAGAAAATCTTTTTTATTCGTGTCAACAACTGTAAATTTGCAGTAAAATTTCAGAGAGTTTAACCATGACTAGTTACTACCTAGCTGCAAATATTTCAGCAATCTACAGCTGTCGTTGTTAATGACACAAATCCTCTTGAAATGTCTAACATGGTAGCTCCACATTCAAGACGTTCGGTTAGGGATTGGGCTTGATGTCTGATAAAGTAATTTGTGTTGCATTATTTGTTAACTCTCATGGAACTAGAATTTTTGTGTTCTCTCTTTCCATTGATGTAAGTCTGCAAAAGTGTTTATTCTCAGTCGTGCAAAATAACAAAAAACTATTTATTTTTCACTAGTGAAAAATAACACATTTCTCAATGAGATATTTATCTATATTTCACTGGCAAAAAAATAGTAAAATCCATTTTTATATTGTCAATTCATGATATATCAGATGATAAATAAATTGCATTATTTTCAAACTTTGGAACACATTGTTTTATACAATGTGCAGTGATGTATTACACATTCAGTTAGCTGTCTATGACAATACAACATTTTGGATGAATAATCGAACACCAGCCTATTGTGTGTGAACTTTCTATATACAGTATTTATAACATCACTGCACTAAAGTGATGATGTAAAACAAACTTTAAATCAATCAATCAAAACGAAGTATTTATTCATTACATCTCTATCAGCAATTTTCCCCAGTTTTTGTAACGAAAGTCGATCATTTTTTGTTCTCCCTTACCTATAATCCACACACTACGTGTTATTTCTAAATTATATAGTAAGCATTATGCATACATGGTTACGATCTAATACATTTTTGTACTATCTAGTTTTATTCTTGCACTTTTTTAGGAATCACCATGTAAATATTTCTTTTGTTCATATTATACCATAGTTTGGATTATGATTACATAGGCATGTTGGTATGTTTGGTTGTTTTTACTGGCTTTCTCCAACCTCCACCCTACCATATCCCTGTTTCTTTCGTTTAATATCATTTACAACCTAGCAGATACAGCTATAAACCTTTCTACCTGTTCCTTAGGTGATGGCTATTGGACAGGTGGGTCTGATGCTGTGGAAGACCGTAACTGGATATGGGCGGAAACAGGAAGTGCACTGGCCTTGACGGGAGACTGGGGACCAAATGAACCTGATAACGCAGCTGGTAGAGATTGTCTCGGACTTTGGGGGGCAGGAGATTTCCAACTTGGTGCATACGACTGCCGCCATTTATTAAGACCCATATGTGAAGTAGAGTAAGTACCAGACAAAGAGAGCAGTTGTTGGTAGTGGTGTTCTTTGTTCTCATTTCATTTGCTTTATATCTCATAAAACACAATAATTACATTAACTATTATCATCATATGTCTTCATGCCAATGGCCAATTCGTTAAACATTTCATTGGATGACCTACCTAAATCACTTCTAATGATCAACAATTCTGCAACCAATTCTGGCGCCAAAATTTGATGTACATCATAGGTCAACAATACTTCAGTTGTATCATAACATCAACTGTAACGTTTGTTCAACTTTGTTCTTTCGAAAGTATATTAATAAAAAAGGCGGGTCGAATCTTTGATACCTTGTACTAAAATAACTTTTATTATATCGAATAGATAAGATAAATAATTGAAACAAATCTTTCAGATTTCTGCAAAGAAGTAAAGCAGGGAACAAGAGGCTGTGTTACTTCTTGGCAACTTAATATCATTGTTTCATTTACGATTGTATAAACCCTAATTAGACATCATAGATATTATATATATTTGTCATTGTTTCAGTATTGAGACACCTGCTCAAGGAATTGTTGGTTAAGCAGAGTAAAGAGGAATAATGATTTGGGATTTTCGTTATCGTGGAATGTATGTAATGTAGTTTAGATCAATAAAGTCGACGTGAAAAGCACGTGTTTACTGCGTTTTGTTCTCCATTCACCATGATATCATTTTAATCATTCTTTATTATCCTACATTGCCAGAAAAAACCTTTCATGTCTCATAAAAAAGGCGAAAATTGTTTTTCCCTAGGTTTTGGCCAAACTCCGCCTTTGAAGAAATTTCTACTTCTTCTGCAGTTTTAAAGACTGTACAAATACTGAATAACACATTTCAATATATATGTAGTTTTGCATGTTATATACGCTTAATAATGATATAGTTTCCATCATAAATCATAAAATTTCTTCTAGAACTCGACAGTGATGCACGGGACCTTACGTGGGACCTGAAATATAGGGAAATAAAAAACAGCCAAAACAAATACTTAGACATAGGTGGAGATGTGTAGTTACACCAGAACTCATATCAGTTTTGCAAACATTCAGTAACGGACAATTTTTAAAGAACGTCAAGTATATGTGTACTTTCTGAACCTAACACTATTCATGTAGACTTATGTTTGGCATATGGGTTAAAACACAAGCAGACTTTATCAACTGCATTCTAAAAGGATTCTGCAAAAGTTATGCATGTGACTGGCACATTTAGATAGAAATGTAGTATTATGTTTGATTACTTGGTTAATTGCCCCATGGAGAGCCAGTGTCATTTTGGGACACAATCTCTCGATACTAGATGGCGGGTGCATCACCGAACAATATACCAAAGACCTGTGCCATCCAGAGCAATAGGGTGATGCCTAAGAAGACGCTTACTCTTCCGAAACACCTGGTCTTATTATCCTTGTACTTTTCAGGAGTATCCGTGTAAATATTTCTTTTGTTCATATTTTGCCCTAGTTGTATGGCATTTGAGGTTGAGTTACGATTATGTTGCCATGTTGGTATTTTCTTGACTTTTTTCAAAACCAATCAGAATAGAAATGTCAGGCAACGGAAAAATACAAACATCGAACCTTCAAACTTGGTATTAGGCTGACAAATGTCCAATGAAAGAACCTAGAAAGATCCCAATTTTAGATATCTTTTAGGACCACAGTGGTATACATCAGGTCATCTTCTTGGAAATTGCTAATTTTACTGGGAAGTAGAGCGCATTGCAACATGTGAATTGTTTGTTACTCACCAAAAATACCACACTATTTCAGACGCATGGAACACGAAACGAAACACTTTTACTGTCACTCGAAATTTTATAAAATATTTTCCATTCCCTCTTGATCCATGTTTTCGGACTAACATAACAATGGAAACACCAAAATGTCGAAAAAAAACCTTCTGCATAGACAGAGAAAAAAACATATTTTAAGTTCATACGTGGAAATGAAATATATCAGGGGAATCATGTAATAAAATGTATTACGGTAATAGACATTCCTATCACTATTTGGTTATTACACCATTCAATATTAATTAAGTTTTTCAAGTTCTGTTAAGATTGGTCATATATACTTAAAGGATAAACAAACGCAGGTTAATATTTATTCCGATTTTTTGAAAACGCGTTCTCCAAATAAAGTGAAACTTTGTGGATTGAGTAATTAGGTCATATTACACCTTGTCATGTATCGAAAAATTAGTCACGGTACAGTGCGCAGCTCTGGTAAATGGAGGAAGGAAAAAACGAATGTCGTGCACCGTGTTGTTCTGGTCTCATGCAGCGTTGGTCAAGTCACATTTTGTTAGTCTTTATACAGACCAACTGCTTCCATAAAATTAATTGAGAATTTGATTCGTTTTAAGAATGGCACGACTCACAGAAGTTCAGAGGGGTCAGGCCATTCAGATGCTGATGCAAGGACAGCTGGAAAATCAGGTTGCTAGGCACTTTGGTGTTAATGTTTCCACCATAGAACGTCTTGTAAGACGTGTTCGGGAAACTGGGCGATTGGCCGATCGACCTAGGTCATGACGTCCGCGCGTAACGTCACGACGTCAGGATCGCTATATCGTCGTCTCTCGTGTGCGTAATCGGCGCCTTACTGCCGTTGAGAGTGCACTTTATGTTCGTGGAAATCATGGGTGTCCTATAAGTTCAAAAACTGTAAGGAATCGATTATGAGAAGTTGGTGTAAGAGCACGCCGCCCCTACGTAGGTCCACACCTTACCCCTGCTCGACGTCAGCGTCGTATGGCCTTGGTCGCTGCACTTGCTCCACGACGGTTTCCACTGAGGCAGTGGAGACAAGTTTTCTTCACGGATGAGTCTCGATTCTGTCTTTATCGATCTGACGGCCGCCAACGTGTCTACCGACGTCGTGGCGAACGTTTTACGGACGCTTGTGTTAAAGAGAGGGATAGGTTTGGAGGCGGTTCAGTAATGGTGTGGGGAAGAATCTCACACGGGTTAAAATCACAATTGGTTGTTATTGATGGCAATTTAACAGCAGCTAAGTATAGAGATGAGATCCTGCAACCCCATGTTATCCCTTTCTTACAGCAGCATAATCTAACCCTCCAGCAGGATAATGCTAGGCCCCACGTAGCAAGGATTTGACAAGTTTTTCTGACCAACAACAACATTCAACCACTAGATCGGCCGCCATATAGCCCTGAGTTGTCCCCGATCGAGCACCTTTGGGACCAGTTGGATAGACAGGTTCGAAAGCGCCAGCCACCCCCTGCTACTCGAGAGCAGTTGACCAGAGCTCTGATTGAAGAGTGGGGCAACATCCCCATAAGACGGATTAACGCTCTCATGAACTCTATGACCAGAAGAATAAGGGCCGTGACCACAACAAACGGCGCACACACAAGATATTGATGACTCAGTTCAATTTCAATTTCAAAATCCTATGGGTCCATGCAATTTAATCGTTAGTACCTCTAAACCAATTGTCAGATGCAAAATACAGACTTTGGAAATTTTTAAGCTTTAATTTATCTGTAAGTATACAAAAGTTCGTTTTAAATGAAGCCTGATATCATACTTCATTTCTGGTTTAAAGTTCACCCTGCGTTTCTTTATCCTTTTAGTATATATTATCGATTCTTACTATATCTTAGACAGGAAAAGGTTAATGATATTCATTGCTTAAGGGTATTATAGTATGATAAATGGTATGCATGCTACTTGCTTAATTTTACAATAACAGAAAATATAGATAGGTCAACAGAAAACGTATGTGAAAAAGTGCAAGGAAAATAAGAAAAGAACAGCTAGCGTCCTTTGTTTGATAGACACCTGCTTTGGAAATCATGGTAAATCCAAGTACGAACTGTCATGTTCTCAAAGGAAAATAAAGTAAACAAAAATAGAACCAACAGACTGCATGTTATCGATGATCAAACACGTCCCATAGGTTGCCAAGAGCATATCATTTCATCAGATTTTTACTCATGAATTGATGGGCATTTGATATTTGATCATTGTATTAATGTTACCATTTTTGTTTTATACAGCACGCCTGTGAACATACCGTCCAGTTCTTATCTTATCTGTAGAACTGGATCTATCTGACTTTACACTAAGGTTTCCAGGGTCACTGTGTGTTGACGCTGTATTGTAAAGTGATTAGTTTGATTACAGATCCGGTTCAGCTTAAACAGAACAAAATGTTGAAGTATGGTATTGTTTGCTTGCTACTCATTTTCGGAATTGTAAGCGGTAAGTATTGACAAGTCGAAGCTGGACAATACCACGATTATAAAGTTTACAATCAAGCTGGTCAGTCTTACAGTTGAACCGATGGCGTTGGTCACGGGGATTATTTCGGTATGGTGGTACATGTTTTGCCATCGAAGACGTAATATTTGTTGATATCGTAAGATCCTTGAAAAGTTGCACAAAGAACATCACATCATGTAATAATTCGAATGGAAAACTGGCCTTCAAAGGTTTGCCGTAACCTGCATGCCTCGTTTTAAGAATCCGAAAACTGTGCTTGACATTGTTCTAACACTATCAGATTTAAAAAAAACGAAATTTAGACTAGTGTACCTCCCAATCTACAATATGAATGTTTCCTCAGGCGCCTCCAAGGCTTCAAAATTTAGGTCTTTAGCATAACTTACTAGTCATATAAAGACGAAACAGCTGTATGATACAATTTAATTAGTGATAGGCTTTCTAACTCTAAACTGGTATTAAAATATGCTATTCACTTGTGAAAAGTATCAAGGTATGTTTATGTTTGTTGAATTCTATTTGTTCTGTTGTCAGTTTTAATAAATAACCTTTAATTTGAATCATATATAGATGGTAGTAAAAAATGGTCACCGGTTTATAGAAGGCCGACTGTTATCTAAAGATTCATATAATGATTTGAGAATCTTTTGAGTACATGTATAGTGCTATTACAGTGGAGCATCATTAGATCGCCAAGCTATCATGACGCGCACTCGATCACATTATAAAGTTAAGAGGAGGAGATGACAATTCTAATATTAATCGCCTTATATTGTTCACATGCTAGGGACAGTAAGAATCCGTTTTTATTTCGTCACACAGTTCAGAAACAAAGGATATACTGTAATCATGATTACTTTCCATCCACAGTTGCAGCAAATTGTCCAGCCGGTTTCATCCAGAACCTAGAAAGGTGTTATAAATTCTTTACCAACACTTTTACATGGCCCGAGGCTGTAGTAAGTAATGCAACTTTGTCAAGTATTTACATTTTGTCTATTATCTGCCACGATAATTGGGTTCAGTGTAAAGAGTGATTTTGTTTGTATTTGTATTGTTCACAAAAGTCTAGTGGAGACCCAGAGAACTGTTTCAAGGTACTACTGTACCTTTCATATCATCATGTCTTCGATAAACTGGCAAACCGCTCTAAAAAGTCAGGAACCATTAGATAAATATAGAATTATCATAATAGTTGTGCACTCGATGATATTTTGAACTCAGATATATTAACCTGTATTCGTTCTTGTGTTTTGTAGTCGTTCTGCGGTGCATTCAATACACGTATTCTTACCATAAGCGACGATGCGGAAATGACATTCATAAGGAACAAGGCGAATGAGACAGGAGGTAAAAACAGACAGATAGTGCCAATAAAATTCCAATTCAATGTCGGTGAAAAGTTGAAGGAAAAAATATTGACACAATGTTATAGGACAATTATAACACGAGTTAACAATCGCCTTGTACATCAGTTTCAGAGTTGATTTGAACGGAAACTAGGACTTATTGTTTGAATTAACGAAATTATCAAATTAAACACATAAGGTGTTGAGATTGATAGGTGAAAGATCCAAGGGACTAACGTTTGATTTAGCATGAATTAGAGAGTAGCAGTCCAGTACAAGTTATTCCAGGTAACATCTTTCCTATCGGCACTATCTAGTCTTTTATTATGATATCAATCTTGGGAAAATCACTTAATATCATACCCCTACTTCTCCGATATAGACATTATCCATTGTTTTTTTCAAAGTATTGAACGAAAATGATATCTTCTGTGTACAGGCTATGGGTTTTGGACGGGGGGCTCCGACGCACTTGATCAGAACGAGTGGATATGGGCGCAGACAGGAGAGATGTTGACACTGACCGGCAAATGGGCTCCAGGTGAACCAGACCAGAGCAGCGGTAAAGATTGTCTGGGATTATGGGGTGAACACGACTTCCTCTTTGGAGCTTGGGACTGCACCGCTCTACTACAGCCTATTTGTGAAGTCAGGTTTGTGTGATTTGGTTCGTGGTTATACGTAATTCGTAAATCCTCTGAAGACAAATATGTATATATGAACATATAGTTTGGAATTTTCAAAGGATTATGTAGGGTCGTAGGAGGAGACATGTTTAGTTCATGTAGGTCATGGCTAGGCATGAATTAATAGCACTGTTCAATACAAAACACCGATCTGACCGCTGGTTAGGCTTAAGAGATCTGAAAAAAAGTATTAGTCAGGAAAATCCTTAAACACCGTATTAAAGCTTGACCTGAACTTTATCCAAATACAATTGATTATAGTTCATCGTTCAACTCCATCATACCTAGTACTTTATTAGCCTCAACCATAATTTAAAACGCAACACATTTTTCCCGATGCTACATTGTTCGTATAGTATAATTTGCTTTGTTCCGTGAATAATCAGGACCGTCGTGAGGTGGTCCTTTCTAGAACAGATAATGACTACAAATGACCACTGCCGGTAATTCAGTGAAATTTCAGAAAAAAACGTCTTGCGCCATGTAAGTTATAAAGTTATGAAATAGACAAGAAATCCACTTGCACCTCATTGGTTGGTTGCGGTTTTGGACATCAATTACACATGAAATAGCCGAAGATGTTAGATGCAACGGTATAATTTTATCTATATAGTTATTAATATTCACCACAGCAATCACAGACCGATCATTCAGTAAAAACACAATGTAGGATTCAATATGATATTGAAGGATATAAACTTAAAATTACTGTAAATTACTGATAGAGTGAAACTACGACTTCACAGTATTTACCTCCGATATTATTAGATGGTGTACATTTTTGACCGATCTTTTTTTTTTTTTTTTTTTTAAAAATAAAAAATAAATAAAAACCAATGAAATTATGTTAAACTTGATCTTTTTTCCGTTTATCATACTGGCATAGGGGTGCAACGGTATACCGCCGAACGGTATATCCCGGTAAAATGCCCAAGGTCCGGTTCACCGTCTTTGTGTTTTTCTGGATCTCCCGGAACGCGTCCGTGTTTAGTATCGTCTTAAATCCAAGATGACAGCTTCTATACAATAACCGGTGATTGAGCTTAAGTTTTATATAAAAAAAATGGAATCATTGTGATTTCCGCATACACGAAAAAGATGATATGAAAGCATCTGAGATGGAAACAACAACATGTTACCTCTGCTATGCAGTTATTTCCTACAAAACGGGAAATACATTCAATATGGCAACCACATGAAGCGGCATGAAGACGTATCAAGTTATGTATAGAAAGCAAACTCAGGCATCCTACTAGCACATCTGGTGTCACTGCTAAAGGTCTGCTAAGTTTGCATGAGATGAGGAAAGTGAGAATGCCATTTTCCTCGCAACGAGCGATGGGACGATACGTGGCCGTATTCTATAGTCGAACCAGAAGGATTCAGAAACACGATTAGTTGTCATGAAGCAAAGCATCAGCTTCTTGTCAGGACATATTTTTCTTAGCAAGAATGTCGTTTTTGTCCCCAGACCTTGTGAATAAACTGATGTTTCTAAAGCATAAAATGAGATGTGAATTACCGTTAAGTAACTCAAACACAGAGATTTTATTTACAAAGTATCGTGATAGGCATCGTATCGTGAGTGTAGCGTATCATTACACCACTAAACTGACCAATTCAAATTGTGATGCATTTATTCTCACAGTATCTCCACAGTAATAAAGCTGTGCCATAATTCTGTATACCAGACATACCACAGTTTTTTAAGGGATTGGACGAATTCGGAACAAAATGATCCTGCAATCATCGTGATAACAATTTTTTTAATAAATGAAGAGTGACTGTCTTATCTAACTCTTTGATTCGTGTTTTTTATTTATGAAACAGAACACATATTTTTAATGTTTTGGCGTAATAAACCATTTTTTATTTTTTCAGTATTGAGGAAACACAGATTTTCGGATAGAACAATGAAGAAATACTACTTAAATGAAACAGGACTATACCTTATGTTTGTTTTGTCGTTGTGATATTAAAACGGTCAGGGACAATAAAGTTGACTTTGTTCTATATTGCCGTCTCCGGTAAAGAAATCTAGGTTCAAACTACACACACAAACAAAAAGGACATTTTGTCAACATTTCATCTTACATCGCTTTATTGCACTATTTACCCACAAAATGTGTTTGCAAGTACTCTTGATTGATATGGGTTTATTAACATCAAAACAGGCAAGGTCGCATTTAGCTCGGAGAGTCCCCAAAGTAAGCCCGTAATTTTAGATATCTTCCTTCAAATATTGTGTAACAATTGAATGTAGTTGCACCTAAGGAGAGCCGTATAATGAAATGAACGACACTATACAGTTGTCTTGTCCCTCTAGAACCCGCTATTGATGCCGAGGACCTCAATTGTGAAATATAGAAGGAGAAAAAAAATTAATACTGAATGAAATAAAATATATGTCCATGTGTATATTGTAAACAGTGCCACAATTCACATGAATTGAAATGTTGCAGGCAAGTTACAATAAACTCGGGGACTTGATTCAAACATTTTCGAATAAACTCCACAGCGTAAATTTGACAATTGTTGCATTTGATTCCCTTTAGTATGGCAGATTAATAAGGGACATTATGTTTGATTTTGTGTATCCTTCTGAAATTAGATGATGAATTTCGTCCAGTGTTATAACTTCATATTATCTTCACTCCAGTAGATGCATACAACAAAATCTGACATCTGAAAATTTTCCAATGAAGCAGCCCCTCATTTTCATTATTTCAACAATCTAAAGTTGTTTCGTGTCGAGATGTAGGGCGATATATATATATAAATGCTTTAAATATCATTCTGTGTGGATTATTGGTCTAAACTATTGTTTATATGGATTTTTTGTGTACATACCTCAATTCTTATAAGTGGCAACGATAATTGTTAATGGTTTCTAAAACAACGGACATTGTTGAAAGACTCTGACGATTTGGAGAATCATTGAAATTTGCTACAGGTTTATTCAATTGGAGATTCGGACTTATTTTTCTCTTAACCTGAAAAGGTAAATCCACGCTTTTTCCCTTTGTGAGACTTCCTAGATTCACCCTCGCGTTGCTTCAAGCTACACGTGCTCTTTGCACGTTCAGAAAACAATAAAAAAAGACGTCACTGACGTGACCCCGAAGTGGAACTACTTTTATGAGGTCATACACATACACTTCTTCTTCTGCTACTGAAATCTTGCGTTGTCCTCAAAACTGAAATTTCTGTATTATCATCAAGATAGAAACTCACCTTAATTTAAAACGTATAACTAAAATTTGTATTAATTATAAAGTATTATATTATTTTGTTGGTATGTACACTAGAACTATATATTTGTAAGATTCACTTACAATGCCTGAAGAGTGCCGTGTCACTTTTCGTACGTGTTATCCACGCATTTTTGTTTACACACAATACACTACGGCTTGCATTCGAACAAGGAAAACAGGTTGAGAGAAAAATAAGCATTCGCACCCTTAAGAGTCATATAGGGCATCACAACCCTCGAGGGAAGATTATTAAAGTGTTAAACCCTCGGCAAATCCCTTGTTTGACAACGTAATAATCTTCCTCCTCAGACTGAGATATTCCTATCTCAACCTAAATGAAGTGAATGATTCTATTAATCTTCTTTTTCCAGTAACATGTGACATTTAACTTTATTTAGCCAGAGCAAAATATCATATTGTTTATGATTCAGCGGATTTTTTTATTTGACATATGTCCCCAAATTCTGACATCATCGACAAACTCGTTTGTCAGCTGTAGTTATAAAAGAGCATGTTGAATAGAAACAACGTTTTATTATTCAGGAGTATATCAGTGATTCAATCATGCAAATTATCCACTTAACAAGCAAGGCAAATCACCAACCTTTTGGGATATATGATATTGAATTCCTCTCTCTTTAAACACTACCGAAAATACCGAAAAACACACAGAAAACATCAAGAAAATACCGAAAAACACAGAAAACATCAAGAAAATACCGAAAAACACACAGAAAACATCAAGAAAATACCGAAAAACACACAGAAAACATCAAGAAAATACCGAAAAACACAGAAAACATCAAGAAAATACCAACATGGCAACATAATCATAATTCAAACTCAAATTCCATAAAACTAGGGCAAAATATGAACAAAAGATAGATATACACGGAGATTCCTGAAAAAATACAAAAGGAACAAGACAAGATGATCCGGAAGAGTAAGCATCTTCTGCTTCATCGACGACACCCGCCATGTAACAGAGTTATGCTTATTTGTGTAAGGTTTGACTTTAATATCCCACCTCTTAATGTTACTGCCATAAAACAGTTCAACGATGTTACACTATTATCTATGAATATCGTTATGAAGGGTTGCAGTTAATTGATATAGTTGGACTGCATCGACCAATATGTATACTCATGTACATATTTCATAAATTTTAACAATTTTACATCTATATTTGAAACATTATTGTTATAAACACAAAAAAAGTCCACCAGACAAAGTCTTACACGAGTGTTGCTTATCTGTTCACGGAACAGACCCAATACGACAGAGTGCTTTATTTGCTAGAGATGACCATTACCTAATTCACTAGAAAAATGTGCGTTTCCTGTCACTGTAAAACGTGTTATTGACATGAAACATAATCAAACATTTAATTCTGGTCCTTACTTCTAATTTGGGACCCTCTGATGGCGTTATCCATGTGATGTGTGAATTCAATTTAACTGAACTGAACGTTAAATTAACAAGTTCTTCTCTAATAAGCACCCAATTGCATGTGTCGTAGCATATGATCAGACCCAATCACATTCCTCACATAAGGGAAAGGTCATCTTAAACGGAATACGAGAGCGGTGAACGCAAAAATTAGGAAGCGACAAAAAATGGAAGAAAACGATATAGATATAAAAATCATCACCGTTCATTATTATAATGTAATGGGGGGAGAGGGAATGACTCTAACGACCTGTATGTATCTAGATTTAAGGAGGTAGAGTAAGTAAGAACTGTATAATGTATTAATGGCCAAATAAGGAAAGACGTATATAGTGTTGTTTCAAAACTAATTACACAATGAGTAGGGTAAAGTACGGATTTCTCAGAAGACATCTGATTTGAAATGTTCATGAGAAGAGAAAACAATAGTAATGTGTGTGCATATATATGCATCTGCATATATAAATCTTGACTGATTGTGCAGTTGCTTCAATAAATGTCTTTGATAAAATTTCTAACATATGTAGTATATGTAGTACAGAGAATTAATTTTGGGCGGCTTAAGTAAGGGCTTCACTGAGTACGTACACGGGTCACCTTATCTTATCTCCCGTTAATGGCCATGCGAAGGACCCGTATGTAACTGAATTGAGGTTTGCATAACACCATGTATGCCCTAGTTAATGTTGCCTTGGTATGTTTAGCTGTCCAAGAGGGTACGTGTTGACGAACGCTTTATATTGATGGATTGGTTTGATTTTATCTATAGGGATATATTTTTCCAAACGCTATCTCCCGATATTTCTTTATAATGCTTACTTTCTGTAATATAAACATTCTGTACTATCACATATGCATTATAATAGACTTAATATTTCCTTATATCAACAATTATTTTGATAATAATCGTTAATAAAATGCACTTGCTTTAACCTTAATGTAAGAAGACTTTTATTCGCAACCTTGGGTCGTTGGAAGTTTGGTATGATATACATTGTTGGACAGCATATTGTCAAATTGGTTTTGCCCATATTTGACGAAATCACTCATCACTGGTCATCTTTAACCAAATTTTGACCATTTTAGACATTATTGAACAGCAAAATAAAAAGGTATAGGCTAAGGGGGGTGGGGGGGGGGGGGGGGGGGGGGGGGGCGTTAACGAAATCATTATGATGAGACTTATTCTATTATATGTAGTATTTATTCTAACAATGTGATTTCCTGCTCTTTCGAGATGACATTTCCTTGATTTAAATGTTTTTCGAAAAAAAAAAGTTTTCAACTATTAACGAACAATTTGTTTTACTATGTATACAAAAAAGAAGTACAATTTTATGATGAGTTTGCATTATGCAAAGACGAAGCTAACCCTATAAGATATATTAAATTTATATATAAATGAAATAAAACGACAACGCAAAATTAGATGCCCAAATTAGGAAATGTAATTCGTGTGTCACAAGATGATATAGATTGGAAACAAATATTTAACATTTTTACGGATTTTATTGAGATAATGGAAATCTTTGTATTTTTGTTGTCTCACTGTGCTGTTTTTAACTTCAGTGGTGACCGATTGTGCAGACGGCTTCATTAAATACGAGAGCTCATGCTACAGATTTTTTCATAACGTGTTTACGTGGCCGGAAGCCGCAGTAAGTCCGTCTGCCAAATTATAGATGTCAGTATAACTGCATAAACATGTAAAGATGTTTCCAACATAAGTCAACGTTACTACATCTGGGCTCTACCAATCATTTTTATTAGTGGTATTTGCTTCTTTACTGCCTTTTTATTCGACATTCGATTGATCTAGCAAACTATTTTTATTATTGATATAAACTGCCTGTCAAGCAGAAAATGTCAATTGCTCAACAAAATAATCAACAAAAATGTAGTAAAAGGATAAGAACATCAATCTCAGAAAACGATAAAAATGGCAAGTTCAACGTATGATAAGGGATACATTTTTAACGTGGAAGGATTTAGTTGCAATAGCAGTTATTTCGATCGGTCTGAAATGCGACAGCACGTTTGGATTTCAGAATGGAGATATTTCGCTGAAAGGTGAATTGTCAATTATCCAGTGTTATTTCTAACTTTTGTAGGAGGTATATTTACAGTTTTCTGTCCTGGACAATTTCGAGAAAGTAAAAACCCAGCCAAATAACATTTTCCTATCGTTTCCATTTTACTTTGAATAAAAAAATATCTTTAAAAGTCTCGCTGCTACAAAAAGTGCAGGCTTGACTATGGTGTTACTATTCCGTTGTTGTTGCTAATACTGCGGAACTTGACTGTGTCAGTTTCTCAAGTACAGTCCTGGAACATTGGTACATTGTCGTATAGACATCTGAATCCACCAAGCATATGAAATATATATATGTTTTTGGTGTATTTTTGAGACAATATCAGGAAGGACTACACATTTTAAAGGCCTGCAGCCATATTGAAACAGGTATTGTAAATAGCATACAATGTTTTATCTGCCTATTGGAAGAATGATATTTTTTGGGGGAAATGTCACATTTGAACGAATTTCAAGAATTGAGGAATTTTTCAATTATATGTTTGACAGTGCATCATGAAACATGGGATGTTTGTGGTTTAGGGAGAGAAGGCATACATTCAAGCGTTGTAGGGTTTCGCTACACAATTACCATTCTAGCACACATGTTGCTGAAATATTATACACAGTTATCGGACATTGTTGAATCCATGAGATGTTAACGTATGGTATAAATGACTATAACAATACAAGTGTTTGTTTTTAAGTCATTTTGCAGTACATTCGACACACATTTGGTGTACTTGGAGACAGAAGCTGAATTCGGATTTATCAAGGCAAGGGCTTCAGAATACGGAGGTACATCGCTGTCCGAATAACTATATAAACGTGACTGTAGCATGTTTGCTACTCATTTTCTTTAGACTATTGTTTTACTGAAGTATGGAGTAAATTTAAAATTATTGTGTAAAGTGTGATGATACTGTGCCCATTGTTTGATATCATGATTCAGTAGATCTGCTGCCCTTGTCGAAACACCTGGAAAGTTTTGTCATTCTATCTTTCTGCTTTTTCTTTCTACAATTTGTTGAAATTTCGATTGACACATTTTGGCTTTCGAGAGGGTATATTACTAGACGATCAGCTTTAATTATGAATATAAATTGCATAGAAATAGAAAAAAACATTTTTATATTTACACTTTATATCTAATTAACCACTTTCCCCCATTTTCTCAATAACTTGAAATGCTTGTTTGCGGTTCCATATCTATTAGGTTTGCTTTAGTCAGCATACGAATTGTTGCACGTCTCATAATATACATATGTACTTGACGTTCTTCTAAAATTATCAGATGTATGAAATTTACTGAATTATGGGGCTAGTGCGCATACCCATCTAAATTTTGGTATTATTCTAATCGCTGGATTTTCTTCAATCGAGTTTTAGATTTTAGGCCCTTAGAATCAATGACGAGTCACAAGGGCGAACAGCTGTATTATGCAGTTTACTTCTCTATTTGGCTTTACTGTATCTTATCAATTTTTTTTAGCAAAATGTTCTCTGTATTTTTGTGTGTTTTAACAATTTTTAAATATCTTTAACTTCATTTGAAGACAGTGCCATTTGTTTTTGATCAGAACGAAAGAGCCCATCATCAGATAATGGCACCTTTTTCAAACGTTAAAGGTTTTTATTGCTGCAACATTTCCTTCACATCATGACACGTATACGTTTCCTATGTGAGGGGTTCTGGACGGGGGCAATAGAAGCAACATATATTTGAATATCTATGTCGTTCCTTCTAGAAGAGGAGTATTGAATAGCGGCAACAGATGCCTTCGAATAATGGAACTTTTTTTTTGTTCTAGGTGTAGGGTTCTGGACGGGGGCAACAGACGCCATCACCGAAAACGAGTGGATATTTAATGAGACGGGTGAACGACTGACCTTAACAGCAGACTGGGCTCCAGGAGAACCAGACCATACCATGGGCAGGGATTGCTTAGGGATGTGGGGAAAATATAACTACACATTATCCGCTTGGGACTGTCGACAACTTCTCAAGCCGATATGCGAGATAGAGCAAGTTATTTCCTAGCTAAGCTTTATAACCGCTATCTAATAATGTATGTAAAAACACTAAGAAACAAATTAGGAAAAGGAGATATATCATTGTCAGCTCGCGAAGACAAACTATTTCACAAAGTCATTACATAGAATAAGTATTGAAATCAAAACTTATATCAACATACATATCTTACTTATAATGATTGGCTGGAAAAAAGTTTTAAATTCTTGTGAACACTTACATAATCGAATTATAAGTAGGCTATTGAAAGTGTCAGCAGATAGTTCTCGTGTGTTTACGGACCTTTTACCTCCGTTTATTTTGAATAGTTACTAGATAGTACTACATTCAGAATTGTCAACCTGGAAAATGACATTTCAGTTAAAGATGAAACTTGATCGAGATTATATGACTTGAGCATGTAACTAAGCGCGATATCATTTTCTGTTAATATCTTTTAGAGTATGATAAACCTTTGATTAAAGAATGATAAATAAAAAATGATATTGATTTTCTTTTTTCCAGACCCTCTGAAAATGGAATTGACATTATTGGATGAGGTAAACTAAACAAGTGCACGGCGTTTTGAAAATGAGCCGAATAAAATGTTTTATAGGGTTAGTCTTGTTCTCTTGTTCCGTAGATGTCATCCTATTGCTCAGAGTTAATGAGATCATTCAATCATTCACATTGGATTGTACTCTCAGTATTTGACCTGAAACAATCATACCGCTGATTCATTTGTGCATTCTGCAATTAACAGCGGAACAAGTGATTGTAAAAGTTTTTTGATCAGCTGTTTGTTATGTATGCTGAAGCTGTTTACATAACGGTAGTGAGTCCAAATCGTAATTTTTTATCAATTTTTGCTAACTTCGGTTGATTATACCAAATGTGAATTAGCCATCAATGCTGGTAATGCTTAATCTTTCAAATCATAGTAAAGCATTTAACATTATCTTATAGTCTGAGTATAACAATGAAGGCCAGTTGTAAATAAACAGTTGATATTCACATCATATAATCCTGTGCACGTTTGCTCCTCATACAATGACAGATAATGTTATGGAATTCAATGAGTCCTATTCCATTCCTTTCCATAGTTGCGGTTCATGATATAGAAATGTATATGATCCCACTCTAAAACCATATACTCGTGTTAAAAGGTCCGTGTCATCGCCCTCTTAAAGAAAAAGTCAACAGGACATATCTCGAAGACGATTAGGAAAACATTTCTGTCTACTTAACAACAACGGAACCACTATGTATACAAACGAGCATCAATGTGTGGTTAAAAACATCACTGAATATGTTTTATTGTACAAATTGCATGTTATATACTATCTGATATTACTGATAAACTTGACCTGGTGATTATATAGCTGCACATCTAAACTACATGTTCTAGCAAATTGTTTTGTAACTTACTTGACGACTTTGAGTAAGGGTCGAGACCCGGTCATAGATAGGATAATTCTGTCAGATTCCATAATCACCTTTCTATTCTGTAAATGCGTCTTCCATTCTAACCACACTGCGCAGACGCTAGACGGGGAAATTGAAACACTATCGATATATTCCCATTCGGGAGTTTCGGCAGTGTAACAAAGGCGTTCGCAATAAATCCACATGTGACTTGACGTTTGTGTGAGTATAACATTTTTGAATGTTCTTATTACGGAAAGCCAGCTGTGTATATAGTGTTCTTTGTCATTTACAGTTGTAACCTGGACAAAATTTGATTAAATGATCCGAATAAAAAGAATTCGTGAAAATAACTAGGTTTACATACTTAATGTTTGAAAAATAATCACAAAAACAATTCGTTAAAGAAGACTACTTCCTTCACAATTGTTGAGATCATATGTTGCGTATTGAGGAAAAGAAATCTTTATTTTTCTGGTAGAAAACAATGTCAGCAACTAGTGCATACCTGGAAGGCCTCATTGACGAATGCGGCGGGTTTTCGAAATTTCAGCTGATTATATTTGCTGTTGTGCTGACAAGCCATTTCAGTGTAACATGGAGTACGCTGATGATGACATTTGCCGGAGCTGTTCCCGACTGGGATTGTATTTATGATGAGTCTCAGGGAACTTCGTCAAATCAGTCAGTTGCGACGAACACTACAATGGAAAGTGCAAAGTTCTTAAACCGTTCTTATCAACAATGTCAGCCACCGGAAAATGCTACTGCCAATGGGTGTATGGAATTTCGTTTCAGTGATGACATGAATACCGTTGTCAACGAGGTGAGTACAACGATCCACACGAATTAACATACTAATAATTTAACGAGCTTGTTTTATGCATGTTTGTGTAACCATGAAAGCCTCCTGATAAGACATGTACATTCAATATATATGACATAGTTTCGCAAGATAACATGTCTATTTTCAATGGCAATATTTATTGTTTTTGAATGATTTCTGTTTGGATATATTTTAATGATATATGAATATATATCGTGCGAATATTTTGTGACGTTACGCAAAGTTCAGCCAATCAATATACAATATTTTTATGAAAAACAATGCCGTATGTGAAATGTATGGAGTCAAATACAGTGTAAAAGTTTTCCATCTATTGGGTTCATCAGAATATATTTATCTACATACATATATCTGCTACCATTATCAATATAGCGACACATAAAGCAGTCCATTACCCTACCCAAGCCTGCAATTATGATACAGAATGCTACAAATGATTTTTAATCATTTACTTTAAACAATTTTGAGATTCTTCATACATCATCGTCGCTATCCCAATTTTCTAACGTATACAATTGTTAGTGTTATTAGTTTATTAGATTTATGGTGTATTTTTGGATAAAAAATTACCATGAAAATTGACTATTTTCTCAGTATAAAGAATAATATAACACACTATCATTATAGAACACAATTTGGTTATGTGTAATTGACATGAAATATATGATTTTTTCAAAGACTACGCTGTCATTACATTCACATAATCCTCCCGTTCTTTACAGTGGACATTGGTGTGTGACAAAGAAGGGATAACATCAACTATCACCATGATACAGATGGCTGGACTACTGATCAGCGGAGTGACCTCTGGTCACTTGGCAGACATAATTGGCCGAAAACCTACCTACTTCTTATCTCTGATAATGATGGCTGTTTTCAACCTTTGTTCGGGATTTTCGGTGTCCTGGGAAATGTTTGCCATCTTGAGGTTGTGTCTAGGATTTGGTATAGGCTGTTATTTAACAGTGTTTTACAATTTTCTAATAGAGTTCACTCCTGCAAGGAAACGAGCAGTTGTTTCAGCCATCCCGTCCTGGGCTCTCTGGGCATGCGTGTTTGGATTTGTGTCAATGTGGCTACATGACTGGAAGTACCTCCACTTCGCTTCAGCTATATTAATAATACCATGGCTGCTATGTTGGTGGTTTGTATAGTTTGATATCTGTCACTTTGAACTGTTCACTTTTTGACACCTAAATATTCTTTATGAAATCGTACCTAAACTACTTGTGTTAATATGCGGTTTTAACTCCTTTTTCGGAAATCAGATAAGAAAGGTGCTTTGCGTATTTTGAGTGCCTCGGGAAGTACAAAAGAAATGTGCATGAATTCAATTTTATATGAGCGTACACCATACCACCTAAAAATAACGGCTCGCGAAGATATGTAAACATTATTTTATTATTTCATATAGGTGTACATTATCTTCATGATGTGTTCATTTGTACCGTCAAGACTTACATACAAAGGCACTGACAATACAAACATGTAATTTAAAAAGTAATAGTCCAATTTATGGTGAATCATTTACAATTTATATATATTGTTAGTGCAAGTCATGGCCATAATGTGTAAGAAATCATATATTATAGGAACGGTTACATGCATAACTGTCGGAAAGGTAACAGTCACGATATTAGTGGAAAGATTATTGTTGTATCAGAATTTATATGTATTACCCATAACTTGATATGTTAACAACGGCACCTGTTTTTCCTTACCTATCTCATTCTATTCTTAACAGCCAATCAACAAAGAACATAAAAGTAAATGACAAACCCCCACAAAGCAAAGATGTTTATGTTTCCTGTTTAAATTTTGTAGGATAATGCCCGAGAGCTTCCGGTACCTCGTTTTCCACAACAGGATACCAGAGGCCGAGGAAACAATTCGTCGAATGGCACGTATAAATGGTCGCCCTGTTCCCGATCTGAAGAGATTACGCTTTTTGGCAGAGGAGGATATAAAGACAAAAGAAAAGACACACACAATAAAAGACTTGCTGATGGACCGTACCTTGTTGAAACGAACATGTCTCCTTGGAGTAGGATGGTGCTTATCATACTATTTATCGTTTGATTTAACGCTTTTAATCAATTTGTTTGTTGAAAACCCCCACTTGATTATAAAGAATGTGTCTGTTGAAAGATATTTTTCAACAAAACAGTTATAGTTTACACATCCTCAATATATATATCCAAAATGTACCATAGTGTCATCGCACTCTAGCGAAATATACAAAAGTTACAACTTTGGCTAAACACATCGACAACCAAATAGAAAAATAGTCAGCAGTGTTTATGTATTACCATAAAATGTCTCCAAGCAATAATCAAGGGTACATCTCAACGCAAAACCACACGCATATACCTCATATTCAACAGACCCAAAAGTTGTACAACATCACACGCGATTGCGACAATAGCAAAGTGAAAGCACAAATTCTGTCTTAGTGTCAATAGTAAGTAATATTGTTCAGAATAGCTAAGAATGTACATCTAGACGTGTTCATTGAATCAGACGTTTCACGTAATTTTTTTGTTTTCTTCTGTAGGTTGTCCAGTGCATATGGTTATTACGCCATCTCGTTCGGAGTACAACATTTGTCCGGGAATCTGTACCTCAACATGTTCCTGCTTAGTGCTGTTGAAGTTCCTGCTCTGATCTTGAACTATTTTTTGACAAACAAGTAATTTATTTTGACTATTATCAAATTTTTGTCAAGAAAACTTTGTTTTGATAATATTATGTGATAACAAATCGTGTTGATGTGTAAATAGTAACAGTTAATGAAACCTTGATGAATTACAAAATTAATATGATGACATGATTCAATACAGGTAAGTTTGAACTTACTTCAAAAATTCAAAATTCTGAAAGGAAATGGCATGCTGTATGTTTGATAAAGCGTATAGTTTGACAGAAACCCGTATTCACTGTTAGATGTTTTCTTAACGATATCAAGCTGAAATGTCATAATATTGACACCGTTCACGATCACGTTACATAACGGAATAGCCAGCAGTTTTTGACAAAACGTAACTGTACTGTGTCAGGATATTGTTTTCATCCCGAATATTGACTTCGGCTCTTCATCAAAGTGAAGTGAATTCATTGACGCAACCTTTTAACCTATCAGAATATCTTAACTTTATACCAAATCCGGTTTTCACACAATACAATAACTACCAGAAAATTATATTCATATTTTCAATTTTGAAATTTGATGTGAAAATTAAGATTGTTTGTGGTGGGAGTGGTGGCGTACAGAACAAAACGCTGCCACAATTTTTCAGAAATTTCAAAATTGAAAATATAGATATAATTTTCTTGCTGTCCAGTGCAAGTGTTACTGTTAGAGTAAAGATACTTTAAAATCTTTTGGAAACAGTCGTTCGGAACTTTACATCAATCAGCGAAGAATGTACATAAAATGGCAAGTTTTTTTTGTTATCTGTATTATAACTGATTTTATTACAATCTATTTTATACGCAGCTTTGGTCGACAAAAGACGGCATTTGCATTGTTTTTGTTGGGAGGTCTGTCGGGTATCGTGGTGGCAGCTGTAGAAATCAGCGGTAAATACATCAATAACGGTTATGGTATCAAACATAGAATCATTATGGGAAAAATCCATCCTGAAACTTTATGTAATCAATTTAAATATAATAATGAGACGAAATGAAAACAAATTGTCTGCAGATTTCAACAATGTATTTCGATTACGGTCTTTAGTTTACCTTGTGTAAGTGAATGCAATATTTTGAGTTTCAGTTGCTAAAACGCAATTTTAGATATATAATAATTTTGTGTGAATATCGACTTGTTTGATGTTTGTCGTATTCTTTGTATATCTTCATTATGAAAAGGTGACAGTATGATACTGTATCTAACTTTATTTGTGTGTCTTTTGTACAATCTTTGAAATAGCAGGTGATTGACACTGCTGGTGGGTTTTTGGTCCTCGTGGATTGTTGTAACCAGCATACCACGTTATCATTAATTGGAATAGTGGCATGGTTCAGAATATACACTTGCACTTGGCACTGTTCCAAAATCATCAGATATATGTAAATCACGAAAATAATTGATATTTCTTTCATTCCATGTAGATTTTTTTTCAGTCGCCCCTACCTCCATAATTTAAGCATTTTTGCACCTCTGACGAGCCCTAGAAAGACAAAACAGCTGAATGATACTGTTTTATTCATTGTTTGGCGCAACTGTATCTACATGATACTGTAGCTCTTCATTTGAATTTAAAGATGCTATGCACTTGTGTGTCTTTTTGCGTTCCAGGATATAAGGGACATAGAACAATGTAATAAGACTTAATAATGTCACTTTTTCAATATGAGAAGCTGGACATTTGATAAACTTTGTATTTCACGTCAATATTCAACTCCAGCATGTATTGTTTGTCAAATATGGGGCAAACAGCTGTTTAGTCTTTTTTCTTATTTCACAATCTGGATTATTTTAATACCAAAATATAGCTGGCACTAAACACAAGGACGGATAGGAAACAAAACGTTGTGGTACTGATAACCTACTATCTATGGTATTTGTATTACAACAATATGCTTGGTGATGTGCCTACTTTTATAAAAGAAACTGCAACGTTTTTTCGATATCTGCAGACTTGGATATGAAGGACCAGCTGATTAATGGGTTCGCGTTGACGGCTAAGTTATGTGTGGCAACAGGTTGGGCCTCCCTTTCGTTGCTGACAACGGAAACTTATCCAACAGTTGTACGGTAAGCTATCAAGGACAGGTTCGCCATATTATTCCAATGATTATCCCCTTCCTGTTGTGAAGTTTTCTCGTAGAAAGTCCTCGTCAGTCTGTTTCTGGCTATATGTTTTTCCTCAAATATGACAGGGTTAACAAACTATCAATGATTTTACTCGGCGAGTTTACAAACCACACACACACACTCACACACCCTCTCTCTCTCTCTCTCTCTCTCACACACACACACACATATATATATATATCTTTACTGCTCCTATTCTTTTGTCTTGTTTATATATAATCTGTCATGTAAAATATCCTTCTTAAAGTAACAAACGAAACCAACTCGCATTAGCAACAACAGCTAATTTGACAATGATGAAATGAAAAACCCGTACTCATCATTACAACTGACGTAAATATATAACGGATAAATGTATAAATTATGGACTTTAATTTTAATGAGAAAAAAAATGTACATCTATGTATGTCGCTGTTGGTGTGTTATTTCAGAAATATCGGATATGGTCTGCATAATTCTATATCACGAGTGGGAGCGATGGTTGCGCCTAAAATCGTTTATCTGGTAAGATATATCATTCTTTGCTATATATCATGAAAAAAAATGCAATGTTGACAAAATTAAATATTTAATTGAGTGGATTAATCAACGTGCTGATACGTTAATTGGAAAGTACATATGTGTTGCAGAAAGTAAATTGAATGATCGCACTCACAATGCTGTTGTGTGATATTGTGTTTAACTTCGATAAAAACTACAAAATGCAAGGAGAGTTTTGCATGAGGTTCCATTCACACGAGATTACACGAATGTTTCATAATACAAAACCTCTTAGATATGAAATAGAAACGAATGTACTATCTTGTTTATCACAACATCTTGCATTCGTGGAAAATAGTATTTATTAGATTATATAATTTAAAATATAAATCTATGCACCGCTATATCCTACCTAACGTATCAAAATAACAAAGATATATGTAATGGATGTTATTACACTAATCACTGGGCAACGAAAAGCAAATTGCAAATGTTGGGCGGTGTTAGTAACAAATGTCAGTCAGATATGATAGTGTTTTTTACCTGAAATTTCAGAACAAATACACACCTGGACTGATGTATTTCTTGTTTGGAGGACTGATGCTGCTTTCAGCATTCTGTACTTTGTTAGTGATGGAAACGAAAGGGAAACATATGCAAGATCTGATCAAACAAGACTCTGAAAAAGAAATGGTATCTCCGGGTTACGAGCTGACGTCAACTGACCACAATGTTACCGATAACAAAAAATGTGGAAACAATCCGAATTTTAATACTTAACTTTAGTTCATTTTCGTATTTTACTCATGATTACGTTTCCCGTCGTGTATCTATTTAACACGAGAAGACTAAATAAAACAAACTTCTGTAGACATCTGTTCTATTCCTGAAATTGGATTCAATTGTCATTTGGCCGCTCAGATTTCAAATTAATGTTGGGTTAATTTCTTTCCGAGAAATCATTCAGCCTTGCCCATATATGTATATGTATTTGGTCAAGAACATCAATATGTTTTGAAAAAAATCGTGTTAGAGCAAGAAAACAGAAAATGAAAAGAAAATGATAATAATAACAATGGTTAGATTAAGGCAAAGCAAAACATCTAGAATTATACATTAATCACTATACAAGTAATCTATCCAAACAAAAAAAATAAATATGGAAAAAAAGGTAAACACACTTTTTGCAAATGACAACGTAATGTTTTATTTATTGACTTTTATGACGTCATACAACCACTCATTACAAATTAAACTATGGTACTGGTGTAGATATACGGTGTTACATGTAGTCCACAAATATGTCTCTACAATGTTGGTGCCGTGATTATAAGTTCGAATCCAACGGTAGTGCGGATACAGACATATGATTACAAGAATTATCAAATAAATTCAACCACTGAAGTTCTACGACACAAACATCAGCCAAACTGAATGATGAAATTTCACTTTTACAATGCAGGCATTCACAACGAAATAGAAGCGGACAGGAGCAAGTAATCATTCAAAAACTGTTAAAATATGTTGTCAAAATAATCCGCAAATACAAATTATAGAGGTCAATTAAAGGTCATTCATCTACTTTTCATATTGCTAAATTTGGTGACAACTAAATTGGCAGTCATTTTGGAATTTAATATTCTGTTGACGTGTCGATATTATGTTGTTCTGAAGGGTCTATAGGTAGAAAGGACTTGTTCATAAATTGACCGAAATTCAATTACCTTTAATCCCATTCAAAGGGGAATATTAACTTATTATCTTCATGAAAAAATACAATTCTTTCAATGTTCACGTCTAAACGTCAATTGATAAAATGGCAAGCCATGGGTCTATATGTGAGTTAATACCCATAGTACGTTGTAAGCTGGCCCAGAAAATATTACACAGCATTACACCTAGTAACATAGGGGACAATGGTGAATTCACTTCCTACAAAGAGATTTTCGTATACAAGGTGCTTGTATTTCACCTGTGGATCTTATGATCTTACACCTACGGTAGCCATAACTGTTGATAACAGCATAAAACCACACCAAAACCTAAGGCTCCATTTACCTTATGAAAACATAACGTACCCCTGCTGACAACTAGACGAGAAATAAAATCACCACGAATATTTTTGTATATTTTGCGAAGAAGATAACGAAAATGTCTTGTTTGATAAAGCGGGTGAAGTAAGAAAGAATATATCAAAGAGATGAAGTAAGGTAATGACGTAATAATGTTCATTATTCTGTAATTTCAATTATTATAACATTGTGGAGCATGTGCGTCCTCTTCTGTACAATAATGATGTCATGGCCAAACAGGAAGATAGAAGTCTACCCGAGATAGATTTGTAGTATGATGACAAACAGCGTAATGGATGAACTAAATGTTTTCCGTGACTGGGCTAGTGTGGGTGTTACTGATACATTAAACGGCTTGAAACCGTTTGTTTGTGATTTGGAATCATGTACTGAAGAAACAAGAAACATGACATATTTCTGGTAAACAAATTAGAGAATCGGCAACACCTGTAGTAATATAACTCAGAGGACAGACAGATGATACGCCAATTTGACCGTGGAAATTGAATCTTTTAAATTCTCGGAAAAGTAGTAAATGTATGCTTTAGCCAAACGCGTGGGTATCAGACAGAAACTTTATAAGTAGATAGCTTGTAAACGTTTACCACAGTGATCGTAGAATAATTTATTTTCCAGAATTTTCATTTTCTTTACGAATGCTCATGTCCCTTATGACTATATAAATGAACTGGTTCGCAAGTAAACAAATTTTTTTATCGTCTTTACCATTCAACATATGCATTGTCGGATCACGTGACGTAACAAACATCACTGAAATATATGTAACTTTTATTGATTTATCTCTTGTGTAAAAAAGGTGCATTATCAGCGGTATTTCCATAACTAAATTACAGAATTGCTTTGTTTCTTCGTTATAGAAAATCTAAATTATGGATACGTCATATTTCACAATTAATATAGATAAATTATGTATATAAATCTTCCATTTAATTCGTTCACTTTCATTACAAACTTGACATGTATAATGTGTTGGCGTTATAACAGGAAACGACCCATTAACATAGATTACTCAGTCTTGCGAAACACTAATACCACAGTCATTGAAACAAAATCCCGGTTAATCAAGTGATTAAGGTCACAATGCTTTGTGTAGATTGTTTATGCTCTTACAGTTTTAAATATCATAATCAATTAATGCAGAATAGAAAAAAATAAAGTATGTTAAGTTGTAATCGTCTCGGGTATAAACCTTTGACATGTATATCAGTAGGTTATATTCGGGTGAAGGTGGCGATTGCGTCAAGTGCGACAATTTGTTTCAGGGCTGAACACAGGTAAAATAACTTAAACTCAGATAAGAAAATAGTTTTTTTTTTTTTTTTTTAAAAAACATATAACTATCTATTTATAACTTTTTATTTTTTTTATGTACGTTTTCATATGTATATTCGAACTTCCGGGATACCAAGGCCGTATTTTTATAGTAATACATATGCACATGAAATCATGTGTCATACATTACTGAAGATTCATGATGATTTCATATTGGCGTTAAAGCGGTTTTTGAAATTTCTGATTTTTATTGATTCATAGGACAGAAAAAATATAAAACGCCAAAGGAAGCTATTTTGATTATAATAACATTTTAATCCTGAAAACATATATTTTTTCGAAGAAAAGACTACAGGTATAATTCTTCATGGATTAAAAAGATTAAATATTCGCAGTTGTAACGCGATTTTATATTTTGTTAGTGTGAAATGCTCTGTAGATTCAAATTAATTTTCTTCTACTGTTAATCACAATCAATTCAAAGTAATTTAGTTTCCAATTATTTTAGGCCTGACTATGGAGGTCGTTCGGACGCTTGCCATTGGTGTTATCTTGCTGGTGATGTCCGTGAACGGTAATGTTTTATTATAACTTTAGAAATGATACTTTGAGTGTGAGTGATTTTGTATTAGCAATGATGATTGATTTTATAAGACGTTCCTATTCCAATTATCTGAGTGGTTTAAGATTACTGAATCATTTAGAAACATTATTCGCTACCAATTATTTTCAAATGTTATAACAGAAATAGAAAAAATGCATATATTTCTATAATATTATAATTGTATTTAGCATATTGATGACGTCCAAATAAAAAGAGCCAATAAAAAGTATTTATTTGCGGTAACTTTCAAAAAGACAGTATCAACAATGTCATATTATGTCTGTGACGTGATTCCAACTGAAAGTTACAACTAAACATTACAAAATATGACGTTCTTACCTATAATTGGTTCAGGACAAGCATTTTGCAACAACGATCATTAGCAACACACTAATGCAATAGTAATTGTTTTCATGTTCACTGCCTACCACATGTTTGCGAAAAGAAATTCTATAAGTATCAAAGTCCGAATCTTGAATGTTATATTACTGAAACAATCAGAGTTTTAATGGATGATAAAATATTTTCAGTTTTTAATTTAATTTGATATTGATAAAATCTTAACTTACATATTGGTGATTAAACTTGCTGTTCAGGCTATATAATCCGAGTTTTACGAACTTTAGTAGAAAAGCTGATAAAGGTGCTATGACTTTTCCTAAAAACTGATATCGATATATCGATATATCGATATAAGACAGGCATGATGATTTTATCATTTGAACAAGCATCTTAGTCAGATGCAAGGAATTGCTTAAAGTTTAATGGCCTTGAATGATTGTATAAGACACTTTCTGTATTCACATTGCAATACCTTACAGTAGACAAGGCCGGGATATCCCCACTGGTTTTGATGATAATATGTTAACAAATATTTTCTTTTCCTTTCCAAGAGAAAACAATTCAATTTCTTTACATCCTGGCGCAAATTACGTCAAATATGTTATATTTGAACACGCATAATAGAATGTGAAAAAAAAACGCAGCAAAACGTTTCTTATACATATCGTTTCCCTGTTTTCTGGTGAATTTTCCAGAAACGTTTTTTATCATACATCTATAATACAATTTTTTAAAGAATAAATTCCCTGTTTTAGGAGCACCAGATAATCGTGGAACGGAGTTTATTTTTGGCTTTATGGAGAACCTAGGAACAAGTTACAATCTGGAATTATTTGTCACTACGTCTCGAACCACAACTGTCAATGTGCGTCTGACATCACCACGTTACAGTAGTCCGTCCATAGACCAGTCATTTACTGTGATCGCGGGGACAGTAAAACAGCTTACCATTAGCAACAGCCTCCGTATGGTCGCTACAGGGTTAGGATCCAAAGGACTCTTGTTGGTCGCAGACGACGAAGTGGTGATATATGGTGTAAACAAGGAGAGATACTCGTGTGATGCGTTCCTCGGTCTTCCTACAGACGTGTTGGGGACAGAACACTACGCCATATGTCAGTATCCACCTACTAGGTATACTGAGATACTTGTGGTCGGAGTAAATGATTCGACATCTGTCGGACTCCGATTGGCTAACCATAATGACATCAGTGTAACATATAATGGCGTTACTTACCGGAAAAATGATTGGATGAATCTGACCATTAACAGGTTTGACACTTTTCAAATACATACCTATGGTGATCTCACGGGCACTTACATAGTCTCTGACAAAATCGTATCTGTGTTTAGCGGTAATAAGAAAACTAAAATAGGTACGGGTGGCTCACAGGACCATTTGGTTGAACAGCTAACTCCGGTCAGTACATGGGGCAAGATATTTGCTTTAATTCCAATCGCGACGAGAACGACTGGAGATTATTACAAATTTATAGCGTCGGAAAGTGACACAGTGATTACTGTCAACGCTTTGGACGGCGGTACGGCTAAAAGTGAAACTATCAATCTCGCGTCTGGAGGAACTTTTTCAGAAAAGCATTACAGTTCTAACTACTACGCGTATGTGACCTCCAACAAACCTATTCTAGTCGCACAGTACGTACTTAGTCAGGTGACAGAGGCTGCAGATCCGTCCATGATGATAATTCCGCCGATCGAGCAGTTTGCTTCAGACTACACATTTACTACACCAAGATACTCACTTGGATCATACAGTAATTATTTCATGTTCGTCGTCAAGGAAACAGAGAAGAGCGGACTCAGATTAGATGAACAAGTGTTACCTTCTAATACAGTGTATAACAGCATTCCGGGTACGAATTTAGTCGGAGGATATGTGTCCGTCACGGAAGGATCTCACACTATGAGGCATAACTCGCCCATTTCTGTCTTCGGTGGATATCTCTTCGGAAGAGCTCATGCCGAATCGTACGCTTTTGCTACTGGTATGCGAATGTCACCAATCAATACAGTAAGTTTGTTTTGTCCATCTTCATTTTTCATAGGAATATGTACCACAGAACAATAACTTTCATCCTGTATTATAATCTTTTTTCTCAGAGGAGCATATTCTATTTGGACTCCGTGTTATTTATGTTTACTTAAGTAATCAGTCCCAGGTAGTTTAGAATACACTTGTTGGTTTGCTTATTTCATAAAGGTTGATTACTTTGAATTTCACATGTTTTTCATTGAATATAGCACATCCCGAAAAATCACATTAATATTTAACATTACATATTCATTTTATTCACTGTTGCTAATTATCAATACAAAGGCGTTTACCTCTCAAACGGGGGATGGTTTTGACAAAGAAAAACGGTCGTTTACAACCAAACTGTACACCTGATAATAACGCTACAGGTAAATTAAACTTTGTTCGCAATCAAACTGTCCTTACTAAAGAAAAGGCGTTTACAACCAAACTGTCCTTACTAAAGAAAAACCGTTTACAACCAAACTGTCCTTACTAAAGAAAAACCGTTTACAACCAAACTGTCCTTACTAAAGAATAACCGTTTACAACCAAACTGTCCTTACTAAAGAATAACCGTTTACAACCAAACTGTCCTTACTAAAGAAAAACCGTTTACAACCAAACTGTCCTTACTAAAGAAAAACCGTTTACAACCATTTACAACCAAACTGTCCTTACTAAAGAAAAACCGTTTACAACCAAACTGTCCTTACTAAAGAAAAACCGTTTACAACCAAACTGTCCTTACTAAAGAAAAACCGTTTACAACCAAAGTTTACAAAAACTGTCCTTACTAAAAAAACCGTTTACAACCAAACTGTCCTTACTAAAGAAAAACCGTTTACAACCAAACTGTCCTTACTAAAGAAAAACCGTTTACAACCAAACTGTCCTTACTAAAGAAAAACCGTTTACAACCAAACTGTCCTTACTAAAGAAAAACCGTTTACAACCAAACTGTCCTTACTAAAGAAAAACCGTTTACAACCAAACTGTCCTTACTAAAGAAAAACCGTTTACAACCAAACTGTCCTTACTAAAGAAAAACCGTTTACAACCAAACTGTCCTTACTAAAGAAAAGGCGTTTACAGCCAAACTGTCCTTACTAAAGAAAAACCGTTTACAACCAAACTGTCCTTACTAAAGAAAAACCGTTTACAACCAAACTGTCCTTACTAAAGAAAAACCGTTTACAACCAAACTGTCCTTACTAAAGAAAAAGCGTTTACAACCAAACTGTCCTTACTAAAGAAAAGGCGTTTACAACCAAACTGTCCTTACTAAAGAAAAGGCGTTTACAACCAAACTGTCCTTACTAAAGAAAAGGCGTTTACAACCAAACTGTCCTTACTAAAGAAAAGGCGTTTACAACCAAACTGTCCTTACTAAAGAAAAACCGTTTACAACCAAACTGTCCTTACTAAAGAAAAAGCGTTTACAACCAAACTGTCCTTACTAAAGAAAAACCGTTTTGTCGCGTATGTATTTATAAATTAAGGCTGAAGGTCTTTGTTTCGAGGAGGTGGAGAGACTCTATAAAATGTTGAGACTAGGTATAATGGTATGATCTAGTCGAAGTTACAATTGCGCTGTCAAGAAAGTATAGATATATTTTAGTATTTTAATGAAACGTAGGTAAATATCCTAAATGTGTTCATTTTAAGGGTTTTCAACTTCAAATAGTTTAAAGAAATAGAAAGTTGTCTAGCTTTACAATAACTGGACCTAACTGTTTACTTCATCAGATGACGATGGCGATGGATTTTCGGATGAAGATTGTGCCAGACCAACTCCAAGTAAGTACTGTGTTATTTAGTATGGCAAATGTTTAACATTATCTTATATGGTAGCGATACCAGAAGGCATAATTATAACATATAACCAGAAAGTCCTTGTTCAGCTTTTTGCAGGGACAATAAAATAGAAGACGGTGTGACAACAGTTGGGTCATTTTATTGACGTCGATCAAGGATTTCCTCGGTATTGTTTTCAACATGGAGTAATTGTAAGCAGTAACAGAAAAATATATCACTCCCTTGTATAATACAGATATAACAAAACCTACTTTTTGTACATGATGTAGTTGACGGTGGATGGTCAGTTTGGGAGTCGTGGGGAAGTTGTACGTGCATAGGGCAAACGTCGGCTTCAGGAGGGACTCAGAAAAGATTGAGGACCTGTACCAACCCCGTTCCCAAATATGATGGCAAGCAGTGTCCAGGGTCTGATCAAGACGACAATACGTGTACCCCCAGCGCAGACTGTTCAGGTATTCAATTCAAATCACAACACTATTCTTTGTCTTTGATTTGCGTTTGCAATTAACGAAAGATTATCTTACTAAATTGAATCTAAAATCGATCCTAACAAGTAGTGATTTGATACGGAAATTAACTGAATTAAAAGGGTTTGGATATCAACAACGTTTAAAAACATTATCATAAAAAGTTCGTTTTATTTTTGAATATGTATATGTGTTGTAAACTTTAATTCGTGGCCTGTTTTCAGTCTATACAATATTAAAGAGATACAGGTTACTGTAAAACTCCAACACTGCAATATAATATTTAGCGTACTTTTTCATAACTGGAGGGTGCTAATTTGGTCAATTTCGGAATATGAATGACCATAGAATCCCAAAACTGGTATTTGGCTTCTGCGGGTATTTCTGACAAATGACACTGGTCATTAATAATGAATTACTTGCCCTAAATATGATCGTTTTCTTCGATATATTCAACACTGATTGATTTTATCTACATCAAATTGGATTTTCCTCAGTCATTTCCCAAGTTTCAATAGTAAAGATATTTGACATCACTGACACCTATTTGTAGCAATGTAATGTATTATCTGGTTCCAGCGTAATTCTGTATTTATATTTTAATGTGCTATTCTCTTTTCTCTTTCATGCAATATTTATCAGTTGACGGTTTCTGGAATCTATGGACGTCATGGAGCACGTGCTCGCAAACTTGTAATGGAGGCACATTTTCCAGATCGCGGACATGCACGGACCCGGCTCCTTCTGGCAATGGCGCACAATGTTCCGGGAGTAGCTCAGATACAGGAAGCTGCAACACTCAGGGATGCCCAGGTATCTTAAAATCCACTAAAATACAATAAACAAAATGTTTCATAGTTAGTTGGTTAAAAATAGCCACATTGTTCCCGTGTAACCTACTGTTTACTAAAGTTACGTAAGTTGTGTGTAGCCAGTTTTTAACTGCAAACATGAACATTAATATCGCAATTAAAGGTAATGCTAGATGTTAGCAAATGTATTATGAAAAACATCATCTGTAAAGTATCATGAAGTATTTATGAAACCTGAAATATCTAGCCAACCTTCTGTAACACAGGGGTTTTGGTAGCAAGTGATCAATTATCTTTAACCCACGGTCGTGATGTTGATGTGTGGGACCTAATTTAATCAGTTGACCAAGGTTTACATTGCGAGTGTCGTCGATGAAGCAGAAGACGCTTACTCTTCCCTAACAACTGGTCTTACTCTTGTACTCTTTCAGGAGTGTCCTGTTAAATCTTTCTTTTGTTCATAGTTTGCCCTAGTTTATGGAAATTTAGTTTGAATTATGATTATGTTGCCACGTTGGCATTTTCTTGATGTTTCTTGATTACCTGACTAATATCAACATTACGGTACATGACGACATTGATTTTACGATTATATCTGTAGTTGATGGTGCTTGGACATCCTGGAGCCAGTTTACTGCCTGCAGTAACTTGTGTGGTCCTGGTACCACTAATCGTTCCAGAACATGTACAGCACCAACTCCACAAAATGGCGGTCTCACTTGTACCGGAGATGATACAGAGGCCCAGACATGCACTGGACCATGCAAAGGTTTGTATGTAATTCGACGTCCTTGTAAGAAGCAGTCTTCTGGAGACAGTATGTCCGAAATGATAATTGGTAAAATAGTTTCATCGCAATTTAAATTTCATTAAAATAACTTATCATATAAGTAGGAATAAGATAGTGCCCGTTCCTTTTGGGGCGAGTGTAAATTTTACGCCCATTCATTAACTCGAAGGAATATATGCCTTGTCTTTGTTCTATTCTCCGTCCTCAACAATCTATAATTTAATGTTACTCCTAAACATAGCATCAATTTTACACTAAGAATAAAAAAACTTAAGTTAAATAATAATAATTAAGTTATACGCCTTATGATATTTATACATATTAATAATTTCCCCTCGGATAGTATCTTATCAAGACATACTACTACCATATGTTTTCTTATATGTGTTAATGCTGTCCTCACAAGATTTACCCAATAAAGATTTCAGATGCCGTTTTCATGAACGGGTTGACAAAAGTGACATAATCAAAAATATGTATTGGACTGTACAATACTTTCTTATTAATGCATGAACATGTTGTGTTCTTACAAATAGTGACGCCTTTGGGTATAGCGCTTTCCATCTGAAAGACCTCCGACAAACCCCTGATTATGCAGTTACTTTCTTATTTTGGGAGCGGTTATCCAAAAAGCAGTGACATATATTTTTACAGCAATTTATATTTGTAAATTATTTCAGAACTAATTTTGGAAAATTATTGTAATCAAAACAACAACCGTTTTCATCGATGAGCTTACAAGTAACACAAAAGAGCTTCCCTCATATCAAGAAACATCGACATCAACGTCTAATTTTCAAAAGTCATTCTTGTAGCCTATATCGTAATGGAAGCAATTTTGTCATCCAACAATCTGAAGTGTTCATCTGAATAATCCTGAAAAGACATCTTAACAAAATAGCTCGTTTTTGAGAAAATATTGTCGTGCAATCGCCGTGTCGCTTGGTCTGATCGGTCTTTGAAATATAAGATGAATTCGATATCGATGAAAATGTTGCTCAATATCCATGTCATGCGACTTCGTGTAATGTATAAATGAACCCAAATGACACACGTGTCAAATACAGCGTTGTTCGAGACATTTACTTAGTAGGAAATTATAACATTAAGGCATAGAATCAGAAGTGGTGTCAATTCTAAAAGGATGAAAAAATGTAATAGTGAAACGCATGCTTCTAAAATAACTTTGTCTGCTTAAGGTTAAAAATCATTTTTCAAATACATGTTAAGATATTCTTAAATGTTAATCTTTTCAGTTGATGGTAATTGGGCTGCATGGTTACAATGGGGAGACTGCACGCAGTCATGCGGAACAGGCATCAGGTCAAGATCTAGGACGTGTACTGATCCAGCACCCTCCAACAATGGAAGCGTGTGCGTTGGATCCCCAGGTGAAATGGACACCTGTAATACTGCACCATGTCCTACTGTGGCGGCCGGAGTTTACCAACAGGTTGAGTAATTGAAAAGACAATTTTCTTAACTGACCGTGACATGAAAATTTATCATAGCAAATGTCAGAAACTGAAAAATATACACAAACACAAACTTAATTAGAAAGAAATATTATTGAACTTTGACTTTACATTCTCCATAAAATTCCTTTAATACTGCAGTAATCAGAGTAATGACATTTATTCAAGATGGTTTTGGATAACGTGGAAAAACACAACCAGAAGGGAACGGCAGTACCACCATTCATCGTCACTATATTCTAAATTCCAAACGATTTGTTTTACCCTTAGAGCAGACATTTAACGGCATGTGTCAAGGCAAACAATTTTGTAACGATGATTTTCTCACTATATACTTATATTTTGTATGTGTCTAATGATGTAAAACTCTCTCGCTTTAGCTGTGCCCAACTAACTGGTTCACATGTGAATCTGGAGCCATGCGTTGTATCCAATGGTCACTGATGTGTGATTGCTCTAATGATTGTGACGACGGAAGTGACGAAACTGTTGGGTATGCCGGATGTGACGCTGCTCTTCAGGCCAGTTGTCCAAGCTCCGCGAACGGTACATATATCTCAAGTCTAAATATCACTTGCCAACTCTCTCAAGACGTTTGGATTTTAACAACTTCGGAAATAGAGATATTTCTGAAGTTGTTAAAATTCCAAATCAGTTCTTGTGAATACTTTTACACACATTATCAATGGAACTAATCAATTCTGCATACACCGCACCGATTTATTAAAGGGTTTCAAATATTTGAGAGTAATGATTTTAAGATGTTCCTCCATTTCTTCTTGAATAAATAATTAAATCGTTTCAGATTCAGTGTTACAGAATTTCAGTGGGTTTGCGAATTTAGATCTTATTCTAAAATATAGCTGGCGAAAAGTCGTCGTTTTTGTCCCTTTTTAAGTGTATTATGCATGTCTGTTGCAGGTCTCCGTTCATTGACAATGCTGACGATGATGGCTACTGTCACATATCTGTACATAAGTGTATCCTGGTGGGAATGAGTTGCTTAAAGAAAAAGATCCCGCATTTACGTATTTACATATTCTATATGAAAACAATTTAAGTGTAGTATTGCTTTTTTGTAATTTGATATTTTTTTTTCAAAAATACCGAATTTATATATAGGTTAAAATATTGGAATATGTAAACAACAAGAAGATAAGACGTATCTTATCACTTAGTAAACATCATGAAATCGAGTCAGTCAGTTGTTTTTGAAGAAGTAACTGTTTAACATTACTAACATTAACTGCTACTACGAATTTTGAAAATTTGAATTTAATTGTCAAAAATAACAAATGTATCGTCAGGTAGCTCTTTTGTGGACTGTACGGTGTGTTATATACATAATGCCCGTACATAGCCAGACAGGATTTCTTCGTGGTTTGCTGTTGTCAGAATTAAATAAATGTTTGAACTCTTGACTATTAAGATGTTTTGAAAAAAACATATCTTGTGTTATTTGAAAGCCAACTCGCACTTCTCTCCGCTACACACATAAGGCTATTCAGGAAATATCCATGTTCACATACCATGGCATAAAATGGAAGTAGGATAAAAGGGGGATATATCGGTTAAAGAACTTAAAACTGCATAGCAACATCAAAGAAAATATGTTAACAATCACTGAAATATTTTTTAACCTTGTTCTAAAGATAGAATTTTCTATAGGCTTTGTGCTATGATTTGAGAAAATGATTCCATGATTCCATAAAAGATTATCATTGAACTGATAGGCATGTAATAAAAGTATTCCACCACGTCTGAGGCTGGTTTCACTCCGACGATATTTCATTAATACTAATGAGTGACCTTCTGCTTAGCTATTGGATACCGTTCTCCAGCGATCATACAACCTTGATCCCCCTCATGGATCATAGCTTATATATATCCATATCATGTAGGAATCAGTGCCGTTATTTTTTTCCGTTGCAAACTATATGTCAAACTTGCATGCACAAACCCGACAGCTTTGAAGACTGCCTGACTGATAATCAAAGACACGGAACAGAATACCTAAATCAGACTTACATTTTATTAAGTTGTGAATATAGTGCATAGTTTCATTGAAACTATATATTTATTATTTTTTAACAACCTTTGCGAAATATACTTAAAACATTGTAAATTAATAATAATAATTCACGGCATGTTCAAAAGCTGTCGACAATGTGTTTTGCTGATCACCATCTGTAGATCTGGTATTTTACGGCAAAGAATTTGACGTTAAGTATTTGAACGCAACTAAATGATGAAATCGCCATAGGAGATGCTATTTAGTTTGTTGAAATTTTAATTCTAACAAAAACATAACATTTTAAACAGTACTGTAACACTGACAGGTCAGTAAGGGCCCTGATATGTGGCTGACCTTTGGACCTGAATGGCAATCTATCTCAAACAAGGAGTTTTTGTTAAGAAGCATTGCAACTAGTTTGAGTTAGATTGGCTACAGCAAACTCGAGTTATTGAACAAAACGGATTTTCCTTTATAGCAACAATAACCTCAACCTTCGTCTTCTGTGTCTGAAAATAAGCCAAAGCAAGCCATCTTTGTAAGGAAGCATTGTATGAAGTTTGGGTTGGCCAAAACACACACTAGTTTTCACATAGAATCTTTTTTACAGCAACAGTGACCTTGATCTTTAAGCTTGGGAAATGAAACTACATACTCCAAGCTAACACTTCTTTCAAGGAGGCTTGGCATAAAGTATGAGTGCCATTTGACCAACAGAATTTGAGATACTGTACAGAAACCAAAACGCTAACAGACGGACAAGCAGATTACTGTATGTACTCGATGTGGGGCCCTAATAAGAATTGAAAACGTATTACAGACACTTACATACTGTAGTATAGTTTAGAATTTTATTTTATAAAACTATCAAATAGTTTAATTTTACTTGGGAAAATGACTTTTTCAGGATGGAAAGTAATCATTTGAAATATAGAATTGATATGAACAGATAATAACAGATGTTACAAAAGCATATCGTTATGATTATTTTCGCATTATTTACACAAACGTGTAATCTATAGAAATTAACTGAACAAGGTTGGTATGTAGCTTGTTCACAAACAGGGAAATGTCCAAAAAGGAAACGTATAAAGAAACTGACTGATGCAAGGATCTGTCTGGAGCATATGAATGAGAGTTGAAGTGTTGTATGAATATCATAAATCATACGCTGATACTTACATTACAGTGTTGGTATTCCATTATTGTTTGTTTCTTTTCTCCATTCATTAACTGTCAGTTGCCTCTGTTTACACTGTGATGTCAACTTCTGTGTCAACTGGGGTTAAGAAAAGTCTGAAAAATATTTTCACGTTTTTGACGTCGGAAGGTTTGACGTTACGTTGGGCACAAAACTGCGTCATTTTGAACAAGCTGCTTTCAGTGGTATTCTACTATGGCATGCTGTTATGATGTAAGAATCGATTACAAAACTTATAAAAAAAAGACTGAAACATTGGAAATCAAGCTAATAAATCAGGATACAGTGCCAACTGGCAGATCAAGGACAAACATGAAGTCGTCAACTGACGAACAAACTCGTAACAGAGTTTCAAAAGATGAAGGATAATGAAAATTATGGTCATTATAGTGATCTCATCTAGAAAGCTCCATTTGTGCGATATGATGATGGGCGTGTTTTTGCTTGTTAGTTTAACTGTTAGTTCCGTCTTTGTATACCCTCTTCTCATATGAGTACGTGACATTAATTACTTTTCCGGAACACCTAGTATGATACTTTTTCAGGATCCTCTATTTTAATCTTTCTTTTATTCATATTTTGGCTTAGTTTTATTGAATTTGAGTTTGAATTATGTTGACACGTTGGTATTTTCTTGTTTTTTCATTCCTTTTCTCAAACTTCTCCGTTCAATGGCTGTAACTTGAGAGACGTCTGTATTCCTCTGGAGTGGCATGATGACCGATAGTAAAACACAAGCAATGAAAAGGTATCATTATATGTACTTAATATACAACATCAAGAACAAGCAATAAAATCTTACAGGGCACTGAATTTGAATTTTCTAGTATGTATAAATATATATAATATACAAATGTATATGTATATGAAGAGGTGAAAGGTTAGCTCAAGATTGCTGTAGATTTTGCTTTCCTTGTATGCGTGTGTACAAATTTATTGTTTTATAAGGTAATTGATTGAAAAAAACATCATGATTATATATCTAAGCTGAATACGAAAAGTTAAGTCATAAATATGTGATTTTTCTGCCGTTAAAATAATTGCAGATTGACTCTCATTTACCACTGTTTTATCATCAATGCATGCACAACTCTTTCCGTAAATATTTGCACGTGCAACCTAAGTAAACGTTTGACAAGACCTCAAGCCACACAGGGTTAAAATCAATCTGTCTATTGTGGTTTTATTGAACTTCTATGTGAACTTAACGTCAAACCAATCAACAAATTGCCGTATGATTTTAACAACATAAAATACAAATATAATAAAATATTTCCAATGGTGTGGCGTATATGTCGTTCATATTAATTTGGGACATGAAGACTAAATACAATTCTGAAATGTTAGAATTTGTCATCTGGATCACATCCAAGAGATTCCTGATTGGAGGTAAAGTTTATGCCATAAAATTACGTCATAAAAAATTAGAAGGATGACGACTTTATCCTGTACCACTCTCTCCTACAGTGAACAAAATTAAACCTTATCCTGAAGGATATCCTTCTATCATTACAAAGGATTTTAGCCTTTGCAGGTTAAATTTGGTATAACAAGGTTGAAAATGTATCTCCAAGAAAATGATGTTTTACCGCAGTCTATTGTTAAGGGGAGAGACTTTTTTTCCTTTTTCTTTTTTTGTAGACAATGTACCAAAACACAATATCAGGAAATATGGCAATGCTCAGATCAAGATTGCACCATAACTAGTGTTATGAAAGTGAGGTTTGAATTCACGTACGGATCCGATACATATGAAACAGAGATGAATGTTTGTTTGAAGTTTATTTACGAACAGTATTAATTATACTGATACCTGTGTTAATATGTGTTGAAATTGCGTTTCGTTTGTTATCAATTTATTAAAATAACAAAATACATTTTCTTGTTTCCCAGTAACTGTCAGTTGATTCTGTTTATAAAGTGAAGTCAACTTTTTCTATTTTTAGTATCGATGAACTTAATGGAACGTAACATTGCGTGTGATGTTTATATCATAAGTGATAAAAATGACTGGGGTCTTTGGTATACATAAAATTTATTGAAGTGTATGACATGTATCCAATAGTACACGTATGTATTTTGAGGTTTACTTTATGGTTAATATAACTTTTACAAGCCAACCGTTAATAATTCTTTACATATGAGTGTATTTAGAATGCAACTATGTCAATATATATATATATATATATTTCACACTATCCTAATATTTACTAAGGAAGCGGGTACCACATGATACTGCGGTCGAGGTGGAAAAACAAACAAATGGTGTGCTGGGAAACAATGTTTGTAAATAATTTGGTATTCGTCAGTTTCATAGTAAAATAAAAAGGCTCGAGGAAAAAATAAGTAAATAAAATTGGTAAAAAAAATGAAAAAAAAGTGTCACAGCTGAACTCCGAACCCCCAGCCATAAGCGAGTTCCTTGTGTAAAACGGTACAGTGCATCTAACTTATAGATAATCTGACAATCTCTTCCAGAGTTGTCGTTCCTTAACAGTCACACTACACCTCTGTAAACGAGCTCATGGACTACCAATATATTTGACCTCGCGGCAAGGATCAAATTTTGACGTCGTGCAAAACTATGGCTGCATCCCTGACAACATCAGTGAAGAACACAGCTGTACACCGTTTAGTATTCCTTCGATCAGCATAAAATATATACATTTGCACTTTCTTTAATGCAGTCATTTTCCACATGACCAAACATGTATTTTCAAAATAATGATACAAATAGCGTTTTACAGTTGTGTTACACACTCTGCTCTAACTTGTATACTTAT